AGACTATATTACTTTAACTAGTTTTATTACTAGTAATATTTATATTATGTAGCTTATATAGCTAGACTATTATCTTGTATATAACTACTTAATAAGGCCTTAGTAGCATTGTGTATACCTAGCAACCTAGAGATGTTGCCTGTTCTAAAGAGCGTGTTGTTTTTGCAAAACTTACTTTATACTGTAAGCATAATATGCTTAAACTTACTTTTAATAAATGCTAAATGCAACTCTATAAACTCCTAGTCTAATAGCAGACAATTCTGTACACTACTAGTGCTATACCTACTAGACTTAATAAGCACTATAACTTTATTACTTTTAATATTTTTTTATCTAGTAATAAGCCTTACTAGCTTTTATTAGTTTAGGTATAAAAGAAATACTAAAAATAAAAGTAAAACTAAAATATTATTCTTAAACACACTATAGACTTTTAAAAAGTACTAAAAAGCAGATGCCTAACATATCTTTTAGATATGCTGTAACATAAGGCTAGCTTTGCTTTTTAGTATTAGCGCAGTCTTTTTAGCAGGCAGAGGCAAGGCGCTTTAATATAGCATAAGTGCTAGATTATAACCTATGCAATAGGCAACCTTTTTTAGAAAAAGTTGCTATGTTAATTATATAAATAAGTTATTTTAAAAATACTAAAGTAAGTGCTTATAATAACACTTAGAGTTAATTAAGTTTTACTACTTAAGCTTAATGCTAGCCTGTTAGTTTAGCTATTTATTTATTTAATTAAAGGGTCTACTTTTATGTCTATTATACTAAAATGTAACTATATAATTTTATAAATTAGCTAAAGTGCTTTTAACTCTCTCTTCTATAGCCTCTAATTTAGGTTTATTATGTAAGGGTGTAGACCTAGGCAGAGGTGTTACAGCAGGAGTAACAGGCGTCTAACTACTACTAGCAGATGCCTAATTTAGCAACATTATAGTTATTATCTGCCTTAATATAAAAAGCTTTATCTTATAATAATTTTTTACTTTTATAAGTTACTTTTTTTTTATTTTTTACTTTACTTAGCTGCTAGCCTGTCTATTACTTGCATCTAGATTAGTGCTAAGACAGTTAAACATATAAAAAGGAATAAATAATATAGTAACTATAGTTTTACTATAACTATGCACGCTATAACTAAACTGCTGCATTAGATTACTTATATTCTAAGTAATTAAAATATTTTATTAGTATACCTACTTAATTCTAGAGATATCTATACTTATTTTAAGCATAGTTGTACAGATAATAATCTAGATAAAGGCATTAGCGCCTTTAAAATTTTAATATATCTTCTACTAGTCTACATCTGCAACCTAACTAGTATACGCCTAGACTACCTTCTTAGCATCTGCTATAAAGTAGTGTCTATCTAACATAAAACAAAATTAAAGGAGCCTTATAAAGTTAGTAATATAAGTGTAACTATTAATAAACACATATGTTTTTAAGATAAGCTTTAAGTTACTAGAAAAACTAGTAGTACTAAACTTATAATTAATAATACATAAAAGCTAAGTATATGTGCTCTTACTATAATTATTAATTAAAATAATAGTGTATATAATCTTAAAGTAATCTACGCACGTTCTAATTACCTCTAGGCTGCCTATTAGATTATTACCTATCTCTAGACCCTCTAGCCTAAAGCTACTAAAACAGTGTACTGCTTTTTCTATTTACTTATTAAACATAGCAGTATAAGTAAAGAACATTACATTAGAAGATAAACACTACTAGAGCTTATAAAACTATAAATACTTTTTCTAAAAATCTTTCTACTATTATATAACATAGCACTTGTCTAATGCTACTAACTTAACCTAAGCATAGAATATAGTGTTAGTAAATAGCTATTAGAACACTAGTAATGTAGCTTACTTTAGACCTAGTAAAATATAAGTGTATAGAAGCTACTAGATCTTTTAGAATATTTTTAAGTTAGCATTTTTTATTTATTTAGTAACTAGACATAGACACACTTTAAAATACTAGTAAATTACTTTAAACTACTTATTTTTTAGCTTTAATAGTAGTATAATCTAGAGTGTAATATTACTTATAAACATAAAATATATATATAAAACAATGCTCTTTCTAAAGCTAGTGTAGGCTATAAGGATTGTATCCTTAAGGCTATACATAAGCTAACAGATAGTGCGCACCTACTACTTATGTAGCTTCTTACTGCCTAACAACTTCTATATAGCCTAAGTAAGTAATAGTGTTTAATACTAGACATTACACTTTATAAAACACTTATATACTAAATCCTGTAAAGCATTAGCACTTAAAGTATAATAAGCTTTAATATAAAAAAGCATTATACTAGCTAGTCTATATACTTAATTTAGCGCTGCATAGTCTTTATTTAGCACTAAATAAGTAGTCTTTTCTAAGTAGATAGCTAGAAGACTTAGCGCAAGCTGTACTTGTGCTAGCCTTCTACTTAAACTCTAATTCCCTGCGCGCTAATCTAGCCTTTTAGTCTGCATAGTAGCTACTACAGCAAATAATTAGTAGTACACATTAAAAAGTGCGTAAACAAACATATAGATAATATGTAAAAAGATACTTATAATATTTAGTGTCTAAACTACTTACTATATAAGTGTTAGTACTATTTTACCTACTATAATAGAACTATACGCATAGGACAAAATTAGTAAATCTAGAAGCTAGAAGTAGTTTATAATAGCAAAAATAAATAGTGCCTAAAATATAAGTGCCTTATAATACATAAGTGTAGATAATAAGAGGGGGGGGGTTTAAAGTAACGCATGAAATTAGTTGTAAAAAAGGTTATGTTACACATGCAAATAGATTTAAATTACTCTAGACATTATTAGATCTTATTTAAAATATGCTTATAATGTTTTTACTAAAGTTTTACGCGTTGTATTAACTTTTAAAGTCTATGTATAATATACTTATTATACTATTTAAAATTGCGTCTTTATTCTTAAGTAGTTAAAATTAGTTATGTACATAAAAAATTACTAAAGTTTTTTAGACAGCTAATAAAAGAAAATGTTAGTTGTAGGGGTTTAAAACTACTAACTCTAGGTTATACTCTGTTAGGAGTAGCAGTATGCATGGTGGTATGTGCGTTGTCGGTTCTCTCATCAGCCGGCTGAGCTAGCTGAGATAAGAATAACCGAAGTGCAGGAACCGGAAACTATTGCAAGTGGAGAGGTGGTGTAAGCAGGCAGCTATGTTGAAGCTGATGAAGTGAAATGTATTGTGTTAAGTCTGAGTGCTCTGTTGCAGAGTATTTATTTACATCTATGATGGCAGGGGAATTGAGCGCCATGGCAATGGCTAAGGGGCTATAGTGAAGGTAGTAGGAGCTATAGTAACAGCAGTGGGGCTGTTGGGTCACAAGGAAGGAAGGTTTCTGTGCTAGGAATGCGACAGAAACCGATATATGTGTGGGAAGGAAGTCGGCATAGGATAATATTATTTGCAAAACAGAACTCTAGAATTTTAAGGGTCTCGTGCGTCTTGAAGCTATCACAGACTAGCACCTGGGGTTTCTGGTTAGCTTTTTCCTTAGTTTTAGGGTCAAACATATGCTTAAGCCACTTAAGGCTGATATAAGAGTTAGTATATCCAGACTTGGTACACGCATACTGCCATCCAGGGTAAGGGAACGTTGTCCAGTTACTTTGATGGGTGGTGCCGGGTTAAATGATTATAGGGTTTAGATACCTACCACCAGCGCTGATACACTTGACCGCAGTCACACTTGTACGCTTAATCTAAGCGCCTCTATAGTCTTGTAAGTCTTTCTTACCCATTAAGACTTTGACTGCGCCTGGCATTGATAGCATGACTCTAGTTTGTCTATATTATAGACATTCTCCTGAAGAATAGATGGATTATGTAATACTATTTTAATAACCTTAAACTAGTGTGTTATCTTCCTATAGGTGTTCTTTTTGTGGAGGTTCCACTCTAGTGCCTCTACTCGTCTCGTTTGAGTATCTGGGTGACGCTGTTCGAAAGCCTTCGGCCAGTTTTTATGTGGAGGATTAGGCGGTCTGTTTATGGTCGCTGGCGGGTAACACAGAAGGCTAGTGAGGGAATATACTTTACTTGCGCGGGTTGTCCGAGGTTAGACGTCTGTAAGAGAAACTTAACAAGGGCTCCTTCCTCCGATGGGGTGAGATATTGTTGGTCTTGAGCCTTTTCTTCCATCGAGCGTCGACCCTTCACACGATGATAGAGGGTAGGGTGAGGGACGCCACTGTGGTCTGCTAGGGCTCGACACGATGTGGGAACACTATCAGGAACTCCTAGTGCCAGTTCTTAGCTTACCTTACCCATGTCAATTCACTATAGGTTAATAATAGATGATGGGATGGGAGAGAATGAGCGCTGACTAGACCACCCACACAGCAAGGGGCAGTGCTAGACGGCAAAGAAAACGTTGCAACAATGGAACATAGTGTAAGGTCGAGATGGCCCTTATGCGCGACAGGTATATATACTGTTCTGTACGCAGAATCAACTGTTCGTTGATTATTCGCACCTTTTTGGTTGTAATGGCGGAGTGGTACAGAGCCCCGTCCTTATATCTAGCAGGTGATTTAACATCCTAAAAAATAAAAAAGGAACTTCATGCGCCACAGCTATCATAAAAGGGATTGCTTAATAGGGATAATGCCCAGTGATACTGAGCTTTGTAAGTAGATTCCATACGCGCTAGTGCAAACAAAGAAACGCCAAAATCTCCAGGGTCTAGCTCTGGACGGAGAAATTCTCGACATGACTGTCTATCAGATCAGCGCGGCTTGCGAGGTAAGAGATTTATTATTTCTTGATTAAAACCCCTTCCCAAGCCCCGAAATCTTAGAACACTTTTTTAGCTGCGACCGGACTGGAGTGGATTGTTGATGAGGCGATTAACGGTGTCAACAAATTGATAGATAGTATGACAAACGATGAATTTCTTCGTCAGGGACTAGTTTACTAGAGTTTAGTAGCCACAGAATATTGAATATTAATCATAGCTCTATATCTTCGCGGGGAAAGGCCTTAAGATATCTTAAAAGCAAATCCGTTTCGCTATACCGTGCGTTTCGCGACGAGAGGATTGACGTTACTAGGCAATACAATCCAATTGCAAGACTAGGTTGATTAATAGGACCGTATTCCAAATTTTCACTTGCCCAGTGCTACCCTTCCTTCTTTCTACATCCCCGTCCCCGTCTGGCTCGTAATTCCACCATCCACAATCAGTGGCTGGCCAGTGATATACTTCGCAGCTTGACTAGCCAAGAACAGCGCTGTATTGGCAACATCCTCCGCCTCCCCCATCCTGCCTAACGGCACGTTATGCTGGGTAATCTTCCTGAACACTTCCCTATCCTCTTCCCTATTGCTCTTCCCTAGGTTCTCGACGAGTGGCGTGTACATTAGCCCTGGAACTACACAATTCATCCTAATCCCCTTCGGCGCGTACATGACTGCTGTCACTCTCGTAAAGTGTATTATCGCAGCCTTAGCAGATGCGTACGCGATTTGATGTTTTCCAATGTACGAGACTCCGGCTATCGATGCGTTGTTGATAACGACGCCGGAGCCTTGCTTCTCCATGATGGGGAGAACAATATGGCACCCAAGATACACACTTTTCAGGTTCAGGTCGATCTGCGCGTCCCAGACTTCCTCTTTCATTGTCGATGGGCTCCCCGGCGCCGTCATTCCCACGTTGTTGATCAGGATGTCTATTCGGCCATATTTTGCCATGACTGCGTCAACCACCTTCTGGACATCTGAGATGGAGGTTACATTCGCGGTCATAACATCACAGGTTCCTCCTTCAGCATGCAGGCGGGAAGCTGTGAATTCCGCAGCAGAAAGGCTGATATCGCATCCGAATACGAGGACCCCATTTGCACATAATGCCCGGGCAATGGCAGCTCCATTTCCCCAGATCTTGGAGTCGGGAATTTGGGTTTGGCCGATGCCCATGATTAAGGCGACCTTGCCACTGAGATCTGGGAAGGTCGGAAAGATCGCCATGGTTATTGCCAGGTCTGATAGCCCGAGTGCTATGTTCTCCGTTAGGGCAATCCGCGACTCTTGCTGATGCTGAACTAGAACTTGCAATATGGGATCAAAGTTTGCAAAGAAAATGTGTATAAGTTTGCCGTCGGAGTCGTTCTAGGTATGTCGGAATATGTTTCTTCAATATGCTGGATGGAATGATATAGCCACTCGTTTCCCGACTCTCCCACAAATCGCTTTTGGGCTTTCTCCGACGCCTCTTTTCGAACATCCCCACGACCCTCCCCTCCAAAGTAACCTATAGAGGAGGCTGCGGGGAAGGCTGATGATCGATCCCAAGGGGACCGGATGCGGTTTCCGGAGACACGGTCTTCTCCCCGAGAGCATTCTCACGTGCTTTGGAAAGGGGAAGGTTTGCCGAGCACGCAAACTCCACATTGACGAAGATCTGCAGAACCACGCGGTCGGTCGTACGGTTGGAGCTAGAAAATGCAAGAATTCCGAGCGCCTTCACTTGGAAGAGGAGTAATGCATGACCGAGTACCTTCCTTTCACTTTCTTTAAAGGCGAGGTCTAGCAAAGAAACTAGGAACGCAACAAGGACTGGTTTAATCTCACTACGTTCCTGCAATTAATTTCTATACAACAACGGCTTTAAGGTCTTCAAGAGGTCAAAAATGGCTCCCCCTACTAGCGCCCTCCCTTCCAAAGACCGGGTCGAGCCGGGCTCCGTCAACATTCCATTGGGCGACTTCCCCGCATCCGCTTCAACTACCGACGTCGATGCAAATGCGGTCGCACAGAACACCACCGACGCCATCAACACCGCTCTTCAAATCAAAGACACAACAAAATTCTCCTCTCTATTCCTTGAGGGAAAGTCTTACTACCGTGACCACCTTGCTCTCACGTGGTCTCTGCGAACGCTGAAAGGCCGCAGTCAAATTGCGGAATATCTGCAGGCTAGCAAAACGCCCCTACAGTCGATTCAAATCGATAAATCCAGCGATTTTAGGGCCCCGCATTATGGGCCTATCGATGCGTGGGGCGATGTCAACGGGATTCAATTCTTTATCACTTTTGAGACAGGGCTTGGCAAGGGGAGGGGAGTTGTGAATTTGGCCGAGGAGAATGGCGAGTGGAAGATTTTCACAATGTTCACTGCTTTGGAGGAACTTAAAGGGTTTGAAGAGCCGACGGGAAGTAGGAGATCGAAAGGCGTTGAGCATGGCGGGAATCCGGAGAGGAAGAACTGGAAGGAAAAGAGGGAGGCTGAAGGGAGGTTTGAGGATATGGAGCCTAAAGTGTTGATTATCGGTATGTTAATATCTGGTCACCCCTAGAATAGGGAACTTTCTCTGCTCCTTCTAGACCATCCGCGTAAAAGTTAACCGGACCATAGGTGCCGGCCAAGGCGGCCTCACAGTCTCCGCGCGCCTCAAAATGCTCAACATCCCCTCCCTTATCATAGACAGCAATGCGCGTGTCGGCGATAACTGGCGTAAACGGTATCACCAGCTAGTCCTACACGACCCGGTCTGGTACGATCATATGCCATACGTCCCGTTTCCGCCTCACTGGCCTATCTTCACGCCCAAGGACAAACTCGCGGAGTTCTTCGAATCCTACGTTAAACTGCTCGAACTTAATGTTTGGACCTCTACAACCATAAAATCTTCGTCTTGGGACGAGGGCAAGAAGCAATGGACTATAAGCCTCGAAACGACGAAACTAGACGGCACAAGCACAACCCGCACTCTCCACCCCGCACACTTAATCCTCGCAACTGGCCACTCCGGCAAACCTAACATGCCATCCATCCCCGGCCTCTCCTCCTTTAATGGCACACGCCTCTGCCACAGTTCCGAGTTCCCTGGCGCGAATCCAGCGTCCAAAGGCAAGAATGCAATCGTCGTCGGATCCTGCAATTCCGGCCACGACATCGCGCAGGATTTCTACGAAAAGGGATACCACGTCACCATGGTCCAACGGTCTACAACCTGCGTAATTTCCTCCTCGGCAATCACTGATATTGGACTGAAGGGACTGTACGATGAATCCGGTCCACCAGTCGAAGACGCAGATCTGTTTCTTTGGGGCGTGCCTAGTGAGCTGTTTAAAGCGCAGCAAGTCAAGCTTACGAAAGTGCAGAACAAAGCCGATGAAGCGATTCTCACGGGGTTGAAGAAAGCTGGGTTTGGATTGGACAATGGACCGGATGACTCTGGATTGTTGATGAAATACTTCATGCGTGGTGGGGGGTACTACATCGATGTCGGGTGCTCAGCACTCATTGCCTCCAAGGCCATCGCTATCAAATCTGGCCAAGAAATTGCTGAGGTGTTACCGCATGGTCTGCGATTCGCGGATGGGGAGACGTTGGAGGCGGATGAGATTGTGTTTGCCACTGGGTATCAGAATATGCGGTCGCAGGCGCGCGTTATTCTGGGAGATGAGGTGGCGGATCGTGTGGGGGATGTCTGGGGGTTTAATGAGGAGGGCGAGTTTAGAACGATTTGGCAGAGGAGTGGGCATAGGGGACTGTGGTTTATGGGCGGGAATTTAGCGCTTGCGAGGTATTATTCGAGGATGTTGGCGCTGTCGATTAAAGGGGTTGAAGAGGGGTTAGTGGCATAGGGGATGGGATTGGTGGATCGAAGGGAAGTTTGTAGTATGGAGTGTTTGGTAGGAATATGCGGTTCTGTACACAGAATGGGTACAAGGATTGCAGACCACAACGTTAAGCATACAGATAGCTCAATATGATATGAGAACGCCAATTCCGGGGCTTAAATAAAGATATCATGAACTAGCACTAAAACCACGACGGCAAAACAAAAGGGTATCCTCATCCAATCCAACTCGAACCGAACCCTAAATCCCACCCATCTTTCCGGTTCAAGCCTTCCCATCATCCTCTGCAACTCTAACCAAAACACTCCCAATACCACCGGCCGAATTCCAAGTCCGATGCGCCTCAGGGACCTCCTCAAGCTCCCAAATCTTCCTAATTGGCACATGAATCTTGCCCTCGCGACTCATCTCAAACAGCTTCTTCAACTCTGGTTCAAACGTGGACTGATCTCTGCCAATATAATAAAACGAGGTTTTATTCGGGCAAAACGGAACCATATTCCTAGCCAATAATTTCGTCACCGCAGGGATAACACTGCGGTGTTTGCCACCCGTCAGCATAGGCAGGTTTCCTCCAAACCCGACCAAATGCCCGCCTTCAGGCGCTAGGATGGAGAAGGATTCATCCCAGGATTCAAACCCCAGAGCGTCGAAGGCAGCGTGCGCACCACCGATGGCGTTCATGGCCATGATCCAGTCTTTGTTGCTGTAGACGAAGGGGATGGCACCTTCGTTGCGGAGTGCCGCATGGTTAGACTGCGAGGCTGTGCCGTAGACCTCCGCTCCTTCGAGTTGGCAGAGTTTCATGAGCGCGTAGCCGACGGCGCCGCTAAGACCGTGGATGAAGACGCGTTGGCCCTTGGTCACTTTGGCGGTGCGGTAGACCATCCCGTAGGCGGTGTTCCAGTCGAGCGTTAGGGCGACGGCTTGTTGGATGTCGAGACCAGCAGGGACAGGGACGAGATATTTCTCGGGCATGTTTGCAAGTTCGGCTTCGGCGTCATAGACGCTGAGGCAGACGACAAGGTCGCCCGGTGTGAATTTTTTGCAGTCGCTGCCATTGACGTGGACGCGGCCTACGAAGCAGTATCCAGGTGTTAATGGTGCCTTTTTCTGGTTAGGATAGATTCCTAGCCGCATGTTGATGTCGGCACCTGAGAAGCCCGAGTACAGGACTTTGACTTGCACATGGTTAGGTGGCGGTGGGGCAATGGTCGCTGTGACGATTTGGACATTGGAGAGGTCGCCGGTGCCGGTGATGAGGGCTTTGCGGATTGTAGAGGTTGCCATAGTTGAATTGGTTGAGTTGATTAGAATGGCTAGTTGGAATGGTTGGAATGGTCGAATTGGCTGTGAATTGGGATATCTTGTTATGGAATTGGACTCTGGGGACGAGATTCAGAATTGTGGGGTGGAAATTACAGATCTCGATGAGGAGGCTTTGCTGATGAACAGGAGAGTTGTGAACCGCGATGCAGAAGCTGATGATGATGATGAACAAAATCCCAAACCCGCCATTATTGCCTTTATTTAAGCAAATTCTACACTGGAAAGATGAAGATCTCATACGGCCGTCCGGCGGGACTGAAAACACAACACCACGAGATGAAGGACTCATGGCCGACGTGACGGGAGATTTAAAGGATCGTGGGGGTGGAAAGAGGTCGAATGCGGGGGCCGAGTCGGCAAGAAATTAGTCCGCGGAACCGAAATAGTAGCCGCTAGCAAGGGTTGGGTGGTGCACAGATAACTCCGCCTCAGAGAAATCGTTGATCTTGCGTGCGTTGTGAAGATGGGGAGCGTTCTCGGGTAGGCGATTGTTCAGGAGATGTGGAGGTGAGGCGCACTTCATGGCGGCACTTACGACCTAGTATGGCGGGGTTGATTGAGGCTGGAAGTCTGTGTGCTGCCGAAAGCCGCCCGAGTTTGAGCGAAGCGCTCCCGAAATCAATCCCTCTCTGTGAATGTTCCATGGTTGGCGCGAACATGTCGCTGCACTCCAGTAGCACCACCAGTGAATTCTCCGACCCAATCGCATTTGAGAGCACGATATTTTCGCGAAATATTATATCGTATCAGATTATAATCGTTCCCCAGGTATTACCCCACCATACGCTGTTATCCCAGCTATCCAGGTAATCTATCCCACCCACCCTTCGTCTGCCTCACTAGAACCGCCTCATCATCACTATCCTCCCTCCTTTGCACTTCCTCGCTTTTCACACTCTCCCCACCCTCTGTCACATCATCCAAACTCTTCCCCTGCCCAATGCCAAGGTCCCGTTGGCTGATCATTATCCCGTGGTCCTTCGCACCCAGTCCGATGAACCGGTCCGGGTTTGGCTCTGACTGGATATGAATCTCCTCCGTCTTCTTAATCTGGTTTCCAGTGGGCATAAAACTGCCAGAGCGACTTCCCTTGCGACCTTTTTTTCCCGCAGAGCCTGAGAAGACATTTGACGAGAGCTCGATGATCGAGCTTCGGCGGTGGTGATGAGGCAGGGTCGAATTGGGGTTTGTTGAGGATTTGTTGGACGACGAGACGAATTCCGCAACAAGTGAGACGTTGCCGGTGCGTTTAGACGTGCTGACTGCGATCTTTTTGATGAGATTTGCCATGACCATTTCAATGTTGAGTTTTACAAGATAGGCCAAGGGATGGAATTGGATATAACTAGTCCTGATTTTAGCATTCATAACGCGCAGGGTATGGCATTTCTTAGAAACACAAATTGGAGGCGGTGGAGAGACTTACACAAACGAGTTCGGAATCGACATAGCCGCAATTATCATCACATCCATAAGCAGAGACACAACAATGATGCGTTGATTAAACCGGAGAAGCTTGTTGTATTTTTGAAGACCGTTGTTGATGAGATTCTGCTTGACAGTCTTGAGGAAATACCAATTGAGACCGGCGTCAAGGATGAGATAAATCACCTTCTCGATCCGATCCCAAACCTCATTGATCAAGATATAACTACAACATGGTCAGCCCTCCGATGCCCGCGACAACTCGGTCAAGATTAGGCCAAGACACGGCTGGACTGGTGCTGTTAACAAAACTTACCGATGGTTAACTTGTAGTCGTGCAGGAATCCAGATGTTGAACACACTGATATTGATGGCTGTCACGATCGACGCAGTCCCTATCATTATGTATTTAGAGCGCCGTCGATCGGGAACAATGACCCGGATACGGTTGATAATAATCTGAAGCAGGAGTTGAACTTGAATACACCACCAGAGCACTATATGCGTCAGTATGGTGGGATACCCACAACCAAAGAATTATTAGCAACGTACAGATGCTCATATAGAAGGGTAAACCTAATAATGGTCAATGCGGGCCCTACGTAGAGAAAAGGAATAAGACTTACTTGGCTTGATAACTTTTGTTATATGCAAATAGCCTTCAAGTCCCATCAAGAAGTTCGCCAGAAGCTCAAGCCATATTAACCAGACGTATGTGCTTCTCAAAGGCGACCGCGAGACTTTCGACTGTTTGGCTGCGAGTTTGATTGCTACCGCGATGCATACCAGCGAGGCGGCCCAGGCGACTGATGAGATGGTGATATCTGTATAGGTGATCTCTTGATTCTTAAAATGCCTTCCTACGAAAGGTCCCCATGGCTCGAAATTCGCGTTCGGTCTGAATTCGCGGTTCATAATGGGGAATATGACACCGTTGAATGGGGTAGGCCAAATGCCTGGTGAAAGAAAAAAAAAATGGGTCCTTGTATCAGCCTCAGAGACATGCAGATGGACCAAAGGAAGAAGCACGAAGGGGCGAAGAGAAGATTTCTATAAGTCTTATCTCGGGATCACGCAGGTAACTAAATGCTGTTGTGGCCCTGGGTTCCATGTGAGGGACGCAATTTTAGTGAGGAAGTGACAGCTGTTCCATGCATTGCACGGCTAGATGAGGAAAGTTTGTCGTTCCTCAACTGCTCGTTCCGCCGTTGTCATTAGCTGTGCCCAGGACGGGACATGATTCAAGGTGACAAATGTACTGGCGCACAGGAACGCATCCACAGCCCCAGCCCATTGTTGGTCGTATTCGGGTTGCATTCGAAGTGTGGAGGATCTCCCCTAAGGCGAAGCTCTCATGCATTGCGTATACCAGGGACTGCTTGATGCTCAGGGCGTCTCGAGTTGTGGAAATCTAATCCTTTGTGGGCCGAGGGTTGGGGTAGAGGAAGGTCGGAAAAGTGGAGTCGGACACAAGGGAACTGCAGATGTCGTACGACTGACGAGACTAGTCCTGGTACAGAGATAGGCGGCGAAGCTAAGAGCAAGCGGAAGCTTGTGTCTTCAAGTCAACTCCAGGGACTCTCCACGTCAACGTTCAAGAGAGTGGAACTTCCAACATGATTCCGCAAGATAACATCATAAACCCCTTTCTGATTCATGAATAATAATGACTTGGGACGTTTTGATAGCCACTTGGCATGTTTTTCAAGATCGTTGACTGGATTGGCTCGAAACTGGCAAGCCACCAAAAGCACGAGGGCGGTCCGATGCAGGGCTGGCTTAACTTCGGGAAAGTTCCACCAGGCCGGATTGGGGTTCTTCCCTGCAATGCGGGGGAGAAAAGCCTCAAGGTTTGCTGGCGGATTGAATGACAAGAAGCTGCCAAGTTGTGTTGCAGGTGTATCTCACCCCGAACTTACCAATCGTCGTCCAATTCGGCGCGAAGTTGCGTGCTCAGAGGCGTTCAGGCTGCTCAAAACATGCGATGCAGATATTCTCACATCTGCAACCATGACGAATCAGGTCAACTAGCGGTTCCTGGTGCCTGAGTCCAGAGCTGAGGGTTTTCGTGACGCCACTGAATTCGCCAGTCGACCCCGTAACAGTTGTGTCAAATCAACAAGTTCTCCGACTCTGAGACCAGGTAGATAAGTCAGTCACCGATCAGCAGCGGCTCCTTTTAAAGGAGTCTTCGTGATCGTCAAGTCTGGAAGGTCGGGGGGGGAAAGGCTGGGGTCTGGGCCCGCCAAGGCCGGAAACAAGGGAGTCCCCTTTTGTCCTCAAACGCTCTTCAAGGAGGCTCTGACTCTGTACCAAAGGGAAGATCTTTCGCAAGGAAAGGCTGGCGATGAGAAGCGTGATGGAAGCGTTGCTCGTGCAGCTGGAGCAGTCTGTGATGTGACGACGTGCAGTGCGTCCCTGCGAAAATCCTCCGCACTCCTGAAAGGCTGGAAGCTGGACGCTGTATGGCCCGTGCGTTGCAAAACACGGATAGCGCACCTCGACAGTTGACGCTATCCTATGTTTCGTCCCTCGTCATGCGCACGGTTTGCAAGAGATAAGAATGTAGGAAGGAAGTTACATTCAAATAGAGTTCACTGGTATGGTTATATTTTCCGTAGTCACACCACCGATATTCGCCAAATTAAGCCATCGGTCTGATTGAGTAAAAAAGTGGAAAGGTCGCCTGTTCCACGCAGGCCCACTTCCCCATGGGGTCAACCGCCACAGAGATGTGCCATTTTTGTGGCATGCTGTTCATATGCTGATGTACTGAGCTGTAGAAAATTCATCACGATGCTGTAAAACACCGAGTCGATATGAACACGTGTTAACAAATACGAGAACCCGGAGTCATCACGAAGTTGATGAAGTGTTCAGAAGTAGGAATAAATAAAAAGCGATATCGGTGTTCATCACGTCAATTGGCATGTACAAGCTACTCGCACAAGCAGAAGAGAACAGGAACTAATCAAAAAATGAGATCTTTCATCTTCGCAATCATGACATCCCTCATTGGGACCACCCTCTCCCTTCCCCCCAATCCAGTCTCCCTGCGCCTCATCTCCTCCAACCCAGCGCTCAACAACAAGCCCATAGTCGCCAATCCCTCAAAACGACTTGGCATCTATACCAACACCACGCGCCCGTGCGCGAAAAAGAACATCTCCAAATCATCCTCCACAACCGGAGGCCTCTACCAAATCCAATGTGCCTCCGACCCAGACACTTTCGTCGCCGCGCGTGGAGTCAGCGGCGGTAGCGCATGCTGGCTAGAGCTTTATCCGCGCGATGACAACGGCGCAATTGGAGTAATGACGGACCGGTATAGTTTCACCGTTGCAGAAGAGACGGGCACGGAGATAGTGGCTTCGGCAAGGAAAAGTTTGTTGGGGTATAAGATGGCGGGATATGAGGAGAGGAGGTGGGTTGCGGTTCCCGTAGATGGGAAGCAGGGTGACTGGGACATTTATTGGTGGAATGGGAATTGGAAGCATTGTAAGTGATTTCTTCAAATGTGCCTAGGTGTGTGTGATAGCTGCTGATGGTGGGATAGGGGATCAATGGGGAACTAGTCATAATGAAACAATGGTTGAGGTGCAGATAGAAATCGTACGGGATTGATAGTGCGTAATTGAGACAAAATTGTGTAACTGATGTCTATCGGTTTTCTGCGGTTTGAAGGAGCGCTCCTTTGGAAGAGTTGATAGTAAGGGACTGTGAACAGAGTTAGCAGAGTTTCGTTATGAGCAAATTGAAGAGCAGCAAATCTCCAAACAACTCTAAGAAGATCCATTGCCTCTTTGAGAATTACTAGTAAACTCGAATGATAATCAGCACACCCACCTCACGGAGCAGCCACCGCCACCACTAGCCTTAGTTTTATGCCAGGGCCAGAACGAAGAACGAAGAAATCTTCGGATGGCTCTAGTAAATCAATTGCCTCTTTGGGAAGGTCAGCAGGAAACTTGAACGAAGATCGGCACCCGGCTCACGAAACAGCCGCTGCCACACTAGCCCTGGACTTTTCTTGAACTGTCCCACAGACCGTGTCGTTTGCACTAGTATCAGAGACACACTTGATTGTGTCACTTGAAAGTTATCTCTTGTAGTCCCTATCCTCAAGATACCCAATCACATCCACGCCCTCGGTCACACAACAGCCACTGACAACGCAATGCTACCCTCGCGCCATACTAGACCCTAGTAAGTAGCATAAAAGGCGGTAGCCAAGAAGCTATAGAAGATGGAAGCCGAAGTGTTCATCCGGAGAGAATGAATGAACGCTTAACATCGTCGATTTTAACGAGTGGATTCGCCCACGCAACCATAACTGTCCGATTTGGCCATTGGCAGCTGTAGAGAAACGGGGCGAACATCTCACCCACGAAAGATAGAAGATTGAGTACAATAGCACCAGCCGTAACCGCGGTCGCAGAAGTAAGAATCCAGCGTGCCAGCTCCGGCGCGTGAGATCAAAGTACCATCACAGGTTAGGTGTGGCCATGATTCTAACTCCTAAAACAGCAGCGGGGATATAATTGACTTGCATGAAGGTGTAGTCCCTAGGGATTTAAGATTCGACGGCATAATAACATTCGTGTTAACCTTCTCGGAACTGGAGCCCTTCGTTCAGATGAAGCAAAGATCCATATATATATATATATATATGCTAGGTGGTGAAATTACGTTTGAATGAGCCTTCAGTGACTTCTCCATTTTCGTAATTAACGTGGCTGGGGTGGGAAAATCGCACGCTCACTCTCGGTCTGTGTGAGGGAGAAGGCTCGGGTTGTATTCGATGTATGGAGGAAAACGAGCTAGGTGTAGAAGGTGAGTGGAATGGTGACTAAGAAGTCAACAACCAAGAGCCAACGCCAGTCGGACAGGCCGGATTTACCTCGTGCATAGAATGAGTATCTCGTCGGGATTGAAAATTGGTGTCCTACTTACTGAGGCTATCGAAGATCGGAGAGTTCCCGCTAGACCTCTGGACGTAAAAATACAGGTACGTTTGCCTAACTGCTCGAGCCTATACTAACTTCCAAGCAGATAATGTGTTCCAACAAACATACAGGCTCTATGGGGCCAATATCAAATAATCGCGATGAACGTGGTGGAGCCCGGCCTCGTAGCTAGCCTCTCTGCCTAGGCTTAGGTACTGATAATGACGCCAAGCAGCCTGGAACTTAGTATTCTCGTCCATAGCAACGACTTATGGATAGGGACTGTGGGCACGGTAGACGAAATGCGGCTGTTTGAGGTCGAGGCGTTGCAAAGCCATTCGAGATATGCGATGCTTGCGGTTGGGCTGCTTCCTCTCTTCGTTGCGCTTCTCGTCAAGGCGCGAATTGACATTCAGTGAAACCTTGGAATTCAGAAGACAATATCCCACTAACATAATGTAGTATGCCTACTAAACTGACCGACCAAGATTTCAACCATCCTAAAAATGTCGGATGTCCGCCCTGTGAGGACATCTTCGTTTGCACGCAGGAGCGTCTGGCAAAGAATGATGCAGCCAACTGGACTTCATGGTGTAAGAAATTCGAAATGGATTTGCTTCAAGTTAAACTTGGAAGCGAAAGCCGTCGTTGCAAGCAGTTTGGACGACATGAAAAAATATTTGTAACGAATGCTTCTATCATCAACGCCCGAGCTAGGCAACATGTCTTTGAGAAATATGTCGGTTAGCAGTTAGAGACTGGCGTTGGGAAGGGGTCGTGGACCAACTGACGCATATCAGGGGAAGACATAGGTTCACACTCGCTTGATGAGTAGTTTAAGGCCCGAAGCACAGCTGCTCTGCGATCGGTTGAAATTAACAGCTAGAATTCATTTATCCGTGCATCGACTGCGAAGGGCACAGGCTCATTACGAATCTTGCCGAGCAAGGCCGTGAGGGCGAAAACAGGGCTTCCAACGGGCCGTACTACGGTCCGTACAAAGTGAACCGTAACGGTCACGTGAGCAGTACGAACGTACCGAGTTTGTGAGCCGTACCGTACGTTTAATGATGCCCTAGGTACGGTACGTAGTACGGACCGTATTACCCTTTTAGGAAGTTTGTATGGCGATTTTGGAGGAGTAGGACGGCTCTGGCGAAGAGCGGCCCTGCGGGAGCGTTCAGGAGGGTTTCTAGAGCTCTAATTAGCCAAAAGTTTTGCGAGGACGCGTAAATCTCTTTCTAAGTCTTTTAATATATCCATCTGCAGTCTGTTGTCTCAAAAATGCCTATTACTAACCATTTTCCATTGCAGGGCTATCCATCCACGCGCCTCGCCGCCTCACAGGCCTCATCTAGTCAATCGGATACCTCTGTCGCCCATTTTGCGCAGTCTCGCAGACTGCAGAAGTCGAGAGCCCTCTACACCGCGTCTCCTGCCTCATCCCGCGATAGTACACCGTCTGTGGCTGAAGATCAGTTGCAGCAGTTCCTGGAGGACCGCAATTGTAACGCTGGGGTTGAGTTTGCAATTGACTGGAATAATATATAGATGTTAGACTTAAAACAGGCGTTGCCCTTAGCGCGATTAGGTTACCGCGTGAAGAACAAGACTACGTTGCGAGGCAATTGTACGCTGTCAAAAGTATGGGCTCATGGCGCGGATTTGACGCTTATAGAGGAGCAGGGCAAGGTAATCCGCCTCTGGCTCTGCTGTCGATGCCATGAGCAAGGTTCTCAGCGCGGCTGGTCGTACGGTAACTGACGATTGAGGCTATTCAACTCCAGAAGAATTGGTTACGGAACAAGGTAGTAAGCAGCGAGCTTTTAGACCTCCCTGCTCATGTTACTAGGGAGAATCAGTTATCTAATGGCCATTTAGACCTTAATCCTGCGTCTCTAGAGACCTATAATATTAGCTGTTTCGACTAGAGTACGACGTACTTTAATCGAATCGTACTACTCGTACAGATCACGTGAGCCGTAACGGTTACGATACGTACACCTACCTCTCCTCCTCCCTGCCGTACGAACGTACTCAAAATCTCACCCGTACAGGCCTCAAAAACGCCCAATCGTACAGTACTACGCCTCGTTGGAAGCGCTGGGCGAAAAGGCCATCAATCGGCTTACATATCTGCAGGCCGTTGCAATGACACTTGGCTAGTCTATTACTTTCGGCAAGGAATTTAAAAGCCAATGGCCCCTAGCTTCGTGAATCCACCGATAATGCATGTCTCATCACGACAGTGCATGGTGTCTCTAACACCTAGTCCGAGTCTGTTCCCATCCTCGGACTGCATCATAAACTCCGCGCTATGGGCTTCAAAGAACAGGCAACATCGAGGAGGCAGAGAGCCATGATTCAAGAGGCGCCTGAAGACCTCAAGGACAAGGTGGTAAAGGGTGAGAACCAGCAATGCGTCGCTGCTCAAACCATGACAGGAATAGCTAACGATCGATGCGTAAGTCGTTTGTGCACATTTCTGACATGGTAGACTAACATAAGAGAATGCGGTCAAATACTCCACTATCATGTTACAGGGAGGTACTGAAAGCATCCCAAGTCACCCTGCTGCTGACATTGGAGGCTTTGTCCAAGGCTCTGGCCTTCCAATGCGAGAAGGTATTTGCTGCGATTAGCGAAATGTGTCTAGACGGCAATGCCATCAAACATGCATTTAACGAGGAGAAAGTCCCCAACATTGTAACCCTGTATACGGAGATTTTGCGCAATTATGTCGTGCGCCAATATCATTACCCCACGCCGTGAGCCGGGATGTTTATCATAAAGCCAGTATTACTAATTCCAAAGGTACTAGCTCACTTGTACATCAATTCCGGTGCTGGCAACCATGGTGAGTCATGTATGCTCCTTCTCTTTGTCTAGTCTGCTGACTTGGGTTAGACAAGACTATCTTCGGCCCGAATGCTCTCGAGCGCTATCCCGATAGATAACTTGGAAACCTCGAGTACCCCATTCCAGTTACGCATTGGCTCAGGCATATGCCCTGTCTGGTAAATTGCTAACCGCATCATGTCTGGCTTGCTGTTTCGCATCATTCTTGCGTTCAAAATGGAGGGGTCCTGATTGTTCTCCTCCCATAAGTCATGGGCAGTTCGGATGCAGTCCAGGACTAGGATTAAACAACCCAAAGTCCTTTGGGGTTAGATTTATGCTCTGGAATCAATAAGAGTTAAAAAGGCAAGTTGCCGAGATTCGGGAACAAGAATCAGGCACAATCTAATGTCCGTTTCACCGGGTCCTTGCTGCTTGTAGTCACTCTACACATGTGAACTTGGTGTAAATCAATCGGATCCGTCTTGGAGGTCCTTAAACGTATTACGAACGGTAGGGCATGAGAATGGTAGAAGCGGTACATTGCATTAGAGAGATACAGAAGTTCGTTACCCGACGATATGGGAACGCCATATGAGTGGATCGGGGATTTCCAAATGCTGATTCGGAAGAACCCCGATCAAGATTTCGAGTCCTACCTGAACTGCAGGCACACTTCACTAGTGGCTTGGCAAATGCATGCATGAAGTGGATCTTCACGTCACAACTCCATTTCCTTGTCTTTCTCGTCGATACGCGAACCAACTAAGCCTCCATAATATATTCCAGTTCATTTGCGAATTTATATCAAAAGATGCATCGCGGGCTTGGGTATGAAGCGTCAAGAATGCCGCCTTCATGAATCATGCAAACTGCGCATTTTCGCAGTCCTTCAAGCAAAAAGCAAGGTAATAAATTGAATAAGGCGTTGTCACTGTGATTCACTGACATAAAGAGTAGTGCAATAAGGAAACCCATTGTGCTCCAGATTTCTTCAAGATGGCTCCGAATGTGTTAGCCGTGATCATGCCACAGCAACACCTATTCCTAGAAAGTTGCATATTTCTACCGTTTCAGCCTTTTTATCCATAAGAACTGAATCATAGGATCGTCCTGTATTTAGAGCAAGGTATCTCATCATTAGAATTCAACTTAGGCCTGAACGACCCAAACGGCCCCCACAAACCTTCGGCAACATCAGCTTCTTTTCTGCTTCGAACATTGCATAAAACCTGAGAGAGAGAGAGAGGCTCACTCCTATGTGGCAAATGCCGCAGAAAATCCTCATGGCTTTGGAACGCCGTCACTACTCTCGTGAATTGTAGAACGCCTGTTGGTGCAGTTTTTAAAGAAGGAATAGAGAATGTTCATGAAACGTCCCGGGTCACACGATTGAAACTTTCCCCAAAGAAATGGCCAGGATCTGGGATGCAGGACATGAGTTGTATGAACATGTTCTCTTCTCCATCTCCTGAAACCCCGATATTGTAACGGTGAATACATATAATTGACTAGAGAGAATCTAGCGGTCTGCACAGCTACGCGCACGAATTTCCCGTGGAATTCACCCCCTCACACTCGAAACCACTCTCTCCCTAAAAACCTCGATCCAAACTGATTTCTAGTACGGAAAACCACCAGTCGGGTTTGCCTCCCTCGTGGGGAAGAACCGCCTCAATCAGATCTCGCTTGTGGAGAAAGTGGGATCACTAGTTCATGCATGACGACCTCAAGTCGTATTCTGTGAGCACCGGGAAGGAGGTGCGCATTACAATGGATTACTAGGAAGAGCCAGAAACGTGGATGGTGACAATGAAAATGCGGAGAAGAGTAGAATGTGGAGATTCCTGCGAATCAGACGCCGGACGATTGACCGCCGTTTCAGAGGGGTGGTGCGAGGCCGAATTCTATATGTTACGCGAACTTTTTCCTCTTCTCGGGATCTTCTGTTCGATGCGGATGGACCTAAATGACTAACTAAATCTTCTTCTAACGGCACGGCTACATAGACCCGTACATGTCGAGGGCATGTGGAAAGACATGTTTTTATGGTGCAACAGCGAATACGACACCTTCATTTTCCTATGTATTCATCCCCAGGTGTCTGGTCGACGGCATATTTTACTCATGGTTGAACGCTTTATCGATTGGATCAATGAACATGAGGATTCCGAGTGGCGTACGTCTGCACAGATTGCGGAGGAGTTTCGGAAGGGGATAATCAGTTGGACAGGGAAGTAGGGTGAGGGGAGACGTAAGAGGGGGTGGTGGCGAGGTATTATATCTCGCTCACTTCGATGTGAATACGAATTCCTTTGTGAATACCACCTAGCTAGGGGTTGCTTAAGTGTGTCCGTTGAATGCGGATTTGACCTCTCAAAGCTGTTGCTGAACTAAGGTAGATCTTTGGAAGGTCTGCCTTCTCATCGCAAATTACAAACAGGTCAATATTCACACATAGAACTCCCCAAGCATAGCCCAGCCAAATCTCCTTACACCCGGGCTCCCGTGTCTGCGGAGGGTTTAGCGCATACTCACGAAATGCCCCTCCGTACCAAGTGTGAGTGGCATTTCACTAGCGCCACCCAGAGCGGGGTTGACGCTTGGCAGCGTGTTATCGCGTCTGCGTCCTCGTCCTGATCGGCACTCTCTCCAAATTCCAAAAACCCTGCAGATTTACCTTGCGTCATGGATTTGGGCCAGATTAGGAAAATAGAAGCTTTTAGCTGGATCGATCGGCGCGTTGCGTCGTGGGGCAATTCGCTATGAACCCAACTTCTTTAATTCCATCTCCAACATTGAGGATGGCTTTGTCATAAAGACTGCGTTGAGATCGATATCAATATTCCCTCCATAGTATCTGAGGAATATGGCAGGACAAGCTATCCTTGTTGTAGGCGGTGGATTAGGAATTGGGCTCGAAGTCACAAAGCTCATTCTCGCAACTGTACCCTCGGGTATGAAAGTGGTCATCTTCGGACTGCACGCCGACCTAGATCTTACCTTGCTGTTGAAGTCGAATTCAGGTTGTCTATGGACCGTGCTAGGAGATGTGACAGCCAAGGCAGGCAAGATAAAGGCGATCGAGATATGTGCGAAAGAAATGGGTGGGATTGATAATCTCGTGTACTGCGCTGGCGTTATTGGTCCGGTTGAGAGGGCGGATAAGGGGAATGTCGAGGAGGTAAAGAAGAGCTATGGTACTAACGTCTTCGGGGCGATAGAAAAGGTATAATGTCCCTCCTAACCCCAAATCTCCTCCCAATAACCTAAATTCAAACTATCATGGCCCATGCTAAAGAAACTACAGAGCTAACTATGTCTCCCTTACCTCCGCAGATCCTGTTCTAGCAACCCTACAAACACTGCCTTCGACAAAGGTATCATATCGCTCTCCGCCTGCGAAGTCACAGGACCATACATAGGTTGAATGGCGTACTGTAGTTCCAAAGCGGCGCTAACCCGCTTCATCGGGATGCTTGCGCACGAGGAGCCTACGTTTTAGGTCTAGGGAGTGTATCCTAAGTTGGCGAGGACGAAGATGCCGGTGGATATTATTGCGGGCAAGTTCAAGGGGATTATGGCAGACCATGAGATTTTTTAGGCTTTGGAATGAGATTGGGGAAGCGATGGTTGAGCCGGCGAGTTAGTTGGGGTTGTGGTTGGGAGGTTGCGGTTGAGGTTGTTTGTGGGCGGTCCGAGTGGGAGGGTTATTTATTATGATGAACATGTACCGGGTGCGAAGTTACTCACGGAGCTTAGTATGAAGGTCGGGTACTGAGGGGGTGCTTCAATCCTAGCACCCCTCAGCCACTCAGCGTTCTTTGAAATCCATGACAGCCTCCCACGAACACTGTAGAGTTTTACTGGGCAGATTCTAGTGCTCATATCGCCGTTTAGTTCGCGCTAGAGAAACTATCCTTCCCACGCAGTACAATAGATGTTTGCCTCCAATCTTCGCAATATAATAGCCTCCAGTTAGCACGACGCAACCTAATAGTTAATACACCAAACCCAAGAATATTGGTCAGAGATGGTTATCGAGGTGATAACTTAGGAAGATTTTATGAGCGGGAAAGCCACTCTTTCCGAACCGCTTCCTTCCAAACTCCTTCCATCCGAATCCATACCTTCCGAACTCTTTCCTTCCGAATTCACTTTCGACTAGGCCGCACTCTACGAGGCTGAACTTATATCTGGCCACAATCAGCTCCTAGCTTGCGGGCAGATCTCGCCAACCAATCACTAGAGGAAGCCGAAAAATTATTGACGGATGTTGCAACACTAGGGGATGTGTCTGTGAGCTTAGTGGACGAGGTCCGCCTAGCCACCAGTCACACACTAGGTTTTGTACGGAATCGTGTGTTTCTCCCATACAATCGACGAACTCGACTCCTTCAAATCGTCAAGTCAGAAGTCAAAGCGGTCGACGAGATTGATCGACTAGAGGCACACTTATGAAGTTAAGGTTTTTCCGCTCATATCTGTATTCTCACCCCATGCTTAACGCGCTGCGTTTGCTTTAAAAGGCTTTGAATTCGTTTGATACTGTGGCAAAAAAGGCTGAGCAGGCAAGTATCTAACCTCTTAATGTCCTAGGGTGGTCGGGCGGGGGATGGAGAATGTAAGAACTAGGGATCATTGTAAGGCACAGAAAAGCCTAAGATTCGCCTTTCTATTCTAGTATAATTACATAAAAATCATCAACCCTGTGCACATCCTTGAAGGAATTCAAAAAGAGGTTGGTGAAAGACACACTCTTGCCCGCCTTTACTCATCGTACCTAGGTACACATGGTAGGTTCGGCCGAGGCTTCTGATTTCTCATCATTCGTCGACTATATAAAGGCGTAGTTCCGAATTGCCAAACTTTGCTTCAGTTGCCAAACTTTGATTTGACTGGAACGGTAAGACATCCATTAACCCGACGACGTGCAAATCTTCGTACTCGCATCCGATAGAGATAGGTATAGAAAGAGTGTTTTCGATAAACGACGTCTTGGGGAATGACAGAATTACTGTGATGAGTCTCCACGACCGACTCGGAGGCGGTTACGGTTGCTAGCTTGGCGATGGAGGTTCGATGCTCTGTTTGAGCCATTGCTGGACTCAAACGAATTACGATTATCCGTCGAGGAAGCTGAAAAGGGTATTTTACGGCATCTTGAAGAAATATCCAGCATCAAGAAATTTCTACATCTCTCAAATAATTGATTTTCCTTCCATCTCACAACTCCGCGTTCTCGAGTCATCCCCATCGACTCATCATCCCATTTATCTCTTTCCCCACATTTCCAACCTCCACAACCTGCTCCTTGGCAAAATCTTGACATTAGGATTTAAAGCATCGGCGCCAAGCAGCTAAACCTCGTCCAGGATTCTCTGGCGACTCTCATTCGATCAACGACGCAGGATTCACGTTTTGCACGCGTCCATCCTCCCAAGCTGCTGCTTGACCACCGAGACCATGGCGTCGACGCATCGGGGTCGCTCCTTTTCTAGTCCAGCGTTGCATTTTCTACCAGCGGCCGTGGTGTCGGTACTCCAAGCGCTTCCGGAGGCATATATCCGAAAAACTTGTTTATAGGCTTTGGCTCCAGTTGCTCTAAGATCTGAGTCTGGACCGCATCGACAGTTATTCTGGAGATTCCGAGTCCAAATCCTTTGTGCGTTGAATTTAGGGCATTGATCTAATCAGAATGGATGAAACGAAACCCGAAGTGGGCCAGCTTGAAAAGGCCTTTACTAGCTCTTCATCCCAGGCGGCAGGTGATGGCCAACGTGAACAAGACTGGACACCTGAAGAGGAGAAAGCAATTGTGTACGTCCTGCCACATCCGGCAAACCAGAAACCACTGTTTTTAACCATAGGATAGACGAAAGGCGGATTGGAGAGTGTTCCCTATGCTCTGCATTGTCTTTGGACTTTCTCTGCTTGATCGAACAAACATCTCCGCGGCATATATTGCAGGGCTTGCGGAAGACCTGAGGCTTGATATTGGGTACGTTCTATGGCTTGGTCTTGTATTAATATCCCAATCCAAGTGCTGGAAGGCTAATACTTGGGACTCTAGATCTCGGTATAACATCGCCCTGCTGATTTTCTTCGTGCGTATGTATATCCCCATACCCCACACCCCACACACGTGCATATTCATAGCTCTCACTCTAACCGGCCCCAGCCTACGCACTGTTCGAACTCCCTTCCAATTTCATCATCCGTCGACTGGGAGCAAGGTACTGGCTCGGCTTCCTAATCACATCATGGGGCGCGTGCGTGCTGGGTATGGGCTTTGTGCGCAGTTGGCAAGTCCTCACTGTGCTGCGAGCGTTGCTGGGAACCTTTGAGGCTGGGTGTAAGCCCACCATTGATTTAAAAATTCCTCTTCTACGAACTGATGCTAAACAAACTGCAGTGTTCCCCGGAGCAATTTATATCATCGGGTCCTGGTACCGACAATACGAAACTGCAAAACGCGTGTCAACATTCTACATGGCATCTCTTCTATCCTCTGGGTTCGGTCCTATTGTAAGCACCCACTCCCGCTCACCCCGTATTCCCCCTTCCCAAACGCCCTAGATAACCCCTAGCTCTCTAGTTTGCCTACGCCCTCTCCCTGATTCGGGTCGGCGACGGCATGTACGCGCGCGGCTGGCGCTGGATTTTCATAATCGAAGGCACCGCAACCATCGTCGCCGGTCTCATCGCACCATTCTTCCTTATCGAATTCCCGGAGAAAGTGAAATTCCTAACCGTGCGCCAAAAACATATCGCAACTGCCCGGGTCAGTCTTGAAAAGCAGAGTGGGAATGGGGAGATAGAGCATCCGACGTTTAGGCAGAGTTTGGGGATGCTGTTGGACTGGAAAATTGGCGTGTAGTACGTTAACCCCCCCTTACCTAGCCCTCTCCCTCTCCTTAAACTCATGTCAAACCAACAAATCCCTTCCAAGCCCCTTCAAGCACCCCTACTGACCTCCCCAGCTCAATCCAATACTTCGTAGCCGCCTCTTCCGTCTATTCCCTCGCCTTCTTCCAACCCATAATCCTGCGCAAAGGTATGGGTTTCTCTTACGCCCTCTCCCAAGTTCTCTCCTCCCCTCCCTACATGTTCGCCATCTTAGCATCCCTCCTCTGCGCCTGGCTGTCTGACCGCATAAAACTGCGCTATCCTATCCTCATATTTCAATCTCTCACTGCCGTCGTTGGCCTGCTGGTGATTTTGTATGCGAGGCCACCGGGAGTGAGATATTTCGGGTTGTTTTTAGCAACTTTTGGGACGCAGGCGAATGTCCCAGGGAGCTTGGCGTACGGCCAGAATCAAACGGCCAGAGTCCAGAAAAGAGGAGTTGTTGCGGCCGCTATGATCAGCGTAGGCGCTGCGGGCGGCATCACTGGATCTACCATCTTTCAGAGCAAGGATGCGCCGGTGAGTCACCTCCTCCAGTTTTATCCTCCCCTATTTCTCTTCGCCAGATAGAAAGCTTCTGGGTTAAATTGATTTGGATTCGGACGCTTATTTTTGGGGATTTGATAGCTATATCTCCCAGGCATGTGGGCGACAATAAGCATGCAATTACTGTATTCGATTGTCACGTTCTGTATGTCTATGTACTTTAAACGGATGAATCGGCTTGCGGATGAGGGGAAGAAACCGTGTTTGGAGGGCGTTGAAGGGTTTCGGTATGCGCCTTAGCTGCACTGGTAGTTTAAACATGTATTTGATGCAGGAGGGAAGAAAAGGGTTGAATGTTGGAGGTGGGAGGGACGATGGTAGGTAAGTGTTGAGTTATGAGGAGAGGGAGAGGGCAGAGGGAGAGCACATCAAACTCTAAGAGAAGCAGAAAGGTTCATCCGAGTGGGCTGGCGTTGAAGACTCACTTGCCACACCCTGGGACTACGGCAGCAGCAGCAAAGAGGTTATTATATAAGCATGTATACCAAAAAATAAGGATGAATCGCTCACACTGGCTCGGGCTAGATTCAACCTGTGTCGGTAAAGATCTGCACGCTCCTGATTTCGGACCCCGCATTTGGGAGGTATTAGTGGCTGCCTAACAGACAGGTTGTTTAGCATTCTGTCGAGTTCTTACGACAATTCTAGCTTTAGTTAAATGTTGATGTAAAATCTCTGTAGCGGGAAGTAGGTTTCTCTGGTGACCGTGCAGGACGCCTGACGAACGGATTGTAACGGCAACAGCAACGAGCGAAACTCTGATTGACCGTAGCGGTTCACTAGAAGCCCAGTCAGCGCCGGCCGGATTCTCAAACAATGGTCTACAAGGCTCTCGATATCCCGAAGCCAGAGGTTCGACTCCTTCACCTCCTCCCCGACCCCCACTCTGAGGACTTGCGCTGCACCTTGACGGTGACGGCTCTGGGTCTGAATCTGGGTCTGGAAACCAAGGTGAATACGACGCGCTGTCATACGTATGAGGCGACGCGGATGACACGTTGGAGATTCTACTGGAAGCCTCGCCGATCCAGGTGACGAAGAACCTGTATACGGCGCTGTATAGCTTGCGCTATGCAGACCGTGAACGGCTGCTCTGGGTCGACGCTTTGTCTATCGATCTGACAAATCTCGAAGAACGAAATCACTAGGTTGCACTCATGGGCGCGGTATACAGTCAAGCAGCCTGCGTTCCTCGGGGAGAGCTGGGAAGGGAGCAATTTTGCATTAGAGGTGTTGTGGCAAATTGGTGCAAATCCGGAGCTGCATCTCGATAGCTCACAGGCTCCGCATCTGGATGTCGCCGGCCTGGGAGATGTCGAGTCGGCGCAAGTACGAAAGTGCTTGATTAAATTCCTGTCGCTGCCGTGGTGGACTAGGGTATGGACGGTGCAGGAATTCAATTTCGCAACACGGGTGGCGCTGCAATGCGGCCAATCGTTTGTCGACAGGGAGCTAGTGATGGGGTTCATCCAGAACCTATACTTCTACCGAGACGACTGCTGTGACGGGAAGGCGCTGATTTGTCTCGACCTGATGCAAGACGATGAGCTGGGATTGACCGTCACCGATGTGCTCGAAGAAACACTAGTCGTGCTGACAGACTACTCACACGAGTTCTCGTTCCTGTTTATCCTGGCTATGTTTCGGATTCGCGAAGCCACAGGCTTGTGCGATAAGGTTTTTGGTATGCTAGACCTTGCGAAAGGGAAGTTCGTCGACTTCATTAATCTGGACTACTCGATGACAGCCATGGACGTCTTTACGGCGGCAGCGCTGGAAGATAATCGAAGGATGGAAACGTTGAATTTTTTGAGCTTTTGCTACGGGGATCGGAAGTTGATGGCACTGCCGTCTTGGGTGCCGGATTGGACTACGAGGGCGGGAGATTCAATAGAGCATCTTACGTAGCTAGATATCATACATTTGTACAATGCAGGGGGCCATAAAGCTAGGCTAAAGACCGTTTCTGAAGGAAAGCTTCAAGTCGAGGGACTTGCATTCGACACAATTAGTAGACATGGCGCTATACCCGGAGAAATTAGGATTAGGAATAGGGAGCTTCTTGACGAGATGAAGGAGATAGCCGGCATGGACGAAGACGGAGAAAGTCTATATTGCACTAAAAAGCAGACGGTCGAAACAGCCATTTGGATGACGGTCATCGGAGGTCTTCAGCCACAACGTTCGGACAGTACCGAGGCTAAAGACAAAATGGAACAGCCTAGGGATAATTTTCGAGGGAGATATAAGAGAGCAAACCACATTGAGATGTTTAGGTTTGAGAGATGGTTCGATTGGATGAGGAGTGACGACGATGAGCATCCATTGGAGGATATGTCTTCATTAGCTACTATTGCAACGCTATATAGGGCAATGGTGGTTGATCGCCGATTCGTGAGAACGGAGAAGGGATATTTTGGGTTTTGGCCTGCGGAGTGTAGGGAAGCCGATATCGTGGCCGTTGTGAGCGGCGGGTCGATGCCGTACGTTTTGCGACCGACCAATGGAGGGTACATGTTAGTTGGCGATCCATATGTTCATGGTATCATGGATGGGGAAGCCTTTAAAGGGGCTGCACGGGGGAGCAAAGAGCTAAGGATATTTGTATTGGTTTGAGGCAAGACAGAAATCGCCGAAAGAAACCAGAGTACAACCGACAGAGATTACCCAATAGACACACCTACGAGAATAATGAACGGTGCCAAGAGGGCGCTATTCTCGCCTGAAATCAGATGCTAGCCTGCGCCATTGTGTACCAGCATGGAGGTATTATTTAGTTTTCCTTCTTCCTTCTATGGACTAAAATTAGGACTACTAGAAGTACTTCTTATGGTAGACATAAGCATAATTTTAAACTACCAAACATATAAAGATAAAGCGATACTAAATGAAAAAGACCAAAAGAATTACCGATTGATCAAAGGGCATGATTTAAGGGAAGGGGGATTGTTCAGAAGCTCGCCTCACCTCAGACGCCTTCGTGAAGACGAAGTTGACGAGCACAAGCGACAAGTTCGAATATGAGGTTGGCGATAGAGATTGGAGACGGCGTGGTGAAGCTGGTGATGGGAATGATGGAGAGTGGAGTCCAAAGGACGAGGCTGGAGACGGATTGCACGTGAAACTCGGAAGGGATACGCCTGCTGACAAGCTTCGTCATTGCCAAGCGCGGGCGACGTGAAACAGCCAAAGCCACAGCCAACGCGCATCCGACCTGCATCGGCCGCCACGAAGCTCTAGGCACTCATAATTCAGCGATAAAGCGCTTTGAGTTGGTGTTTGCTTTCCTCTTCACAGTCCCCAATCCACTCCGTCGAGAACACCCACCATGGCCGAGAAACCAGCGGCCGAAAAGGTACCATAGCACCCCGCCACACCTCCCACCCACCTTCCACTGCACCCACCACATCCTCCAAACCCCCCAAACCTACCTAAAATTGAAAGGATGTCGCATGACTGATCCGGACCCCTTTGTGTAGCCAAAAGCCAGCACCACTCCAGGCGCTGAGTCTCCGACCACCGCGCGCCCGCTCGACTTCGACGACGACGGCGAGACACCCTCAACTGCCCTCGAGAGCGCTGCGTCCCCGCCACCCCCCTCTAAGTCCCCTAAACCGGGTGTCCGCTTCTCAGACGACGCTACCGAGATCCCCCCCCCGAAGCCACCGCGCCCGATGAGTCCCCAGCAGCAGGCCGAGAACACGCTGATCGAGGCCTTCCCCGGCATCGACGCCAAGGTTGTTAAGGCGGTCCTTGTCGCAAGCGGAGGCAAAGTGGAGCCTGCGTTCAATGCGCTGCTCAGCATGTCGGATCCCAACTACCAGGCCGAGGAAACGCCTCCACCTCAACCGCCTAGGCCGACTCAGCAGCCGCGAAACCAGCTGGAGGCAGATGAGCTGTACGCCCGCCAGCTGGAAGAGCACTATCAGACCCAGGGTGGACATGCGTCACATCGCGGTGGCCCTAGAGCGCCGCAGCGACGCAAGGACACTGGTCTGAAGCCCAATGAACTTTACGACGACAAGGAGCATAGCTTCTTCGAAGGTAAGCTGAGTCTTGTCCTCCATGAGCCCCACCTCAACCCTAGCTTCTCGCAGACGATCTCCCGGTGATCAAGAAGAACATCGAGCAAGGCTTCCGCGAGACCCAGAGTAAGGTCAACGAATGGATCACCAACTTTCGCAAGAAGCTCGACGGCGAAGACGACTACGACGAGCACACGCACGCTCAGCCCTCTCAACAGCGCCAGAACTATGGCCCTTCTCAGTCAGATCAGCTCTACGGCGCACGCAAGTCTGCAGAGCAGAGGCGGTCGGCAGATCGGGAGAGATATGATACGGACAACAGGGTGCTTGGAGATGATTTTGAGGCGCTGGAGTTGAGAGATGATGAAGGTATGGTCATTCATAGACATACACATGACACCAACACACCCTAACTTGTTTCCTCCAGCCCCCGCCCACCATAAACCAAACCGCCCGCTTGCAAATCCCGATCTCTTCAAGCCCACGCCCGTATCGCCACCCCAGAGCGGTCCTATTGATGAAGTCGACGCCCTGTATCGCAATCCCTCGCCCGCAAACCAGCCACCCGGCAAGTTAGGAGGCAAGAAGTGGCAGCCCCTTACGTCTGTAGCACCACACCCCGAGCCCGAAGACCATGATCCATTCAGTCTTGGGGACAGCGACGAGGAAGATACAAATGCCAAGACCAAGGACGTTAAAGCCGAAGATACCGATAGGCTGAAGAAAGCGGCAGAGGGCAAGGAGGGAAAGGATGCTGGAGATCTGAAGGAGGCGAGTCGGAGTGGGAGCGCGGGGCAGAAAGATGCGGCTGCAGAAGCCTTGTTGAAGGAGGCTAAATAGCTGCATCTTGAGGTCTCCCTTTGCAGTTCTGTTTGATGATGATTGATGACTGATGGGTAGTTTCCACGGCTTGGCTGGTTTTGTGGTATGAGTAGATGCACTTTCGGCCCTGCGGTTTGCTTAGTTTCTACGAAGCGATTGTATGTAGGCGGATTAAGTTCATATCAATACTGACCATCTTTCAGACAGGAATGGGATGATCCTCGACTGCTGCTTTCTAACTGGCAATCTTCTGATTAACACATATGTGTTCTGTATATATAGCCTGTGTACACTAGCGGCATTCATGGAGTACAGCTCTAGTATTAAGCTAGCAGAAAGGAAAATGAATGCGCCTACAGAGTAGCTTTAGCGTAATTGCATATATCTCTTCGCTTCTGCTCGAAGACAGAAATGGTTACCCCTTTTCTTCTCCTTTCTAACTAGCAAGATTTTAATTAACCCCATCTACACTCTGCAAACGTAGCCTATATACTGGAAACTCTTTTGTAGGCAAGCACTGTTTTAAGCTTAGAAGTAAGAAATATTGTAGAAGTTTACAGGCTTAAGTAGAAAGAGCTTTTCAACCTTCTTCAAACAGGAAGCTGCACTCTGTTAACAGTCTCCTTAGTTCTAGCAAGAGGTTCAGTAGGTAAACTTTATTCCACTCGTGTTCTGTACTGGGTGGTGAGGTGCTGTATCTAAGTAGTTAAAAGCGTTAGGACATCACGCAAAATTAGGAAGTGAAAACTCTGCGGATCGAGACTGCCATTTACTAGCCTACCCACCCTACCTCATTAACTACTATCGCTATCGTCTACTATCCTAATCAATAACGGCGCGGGCGAAACAAAGATCGACAGAGCGTCCGGAACTTCACCTGCCACTGTCTGGCCTCGTAGAGATCAAGATCCAGTCTTGCAGCGATGATCTCTGGCGCAACCCTGGAGACCAGCCCGGGATCGATTCCTGCCTAAAATTGCAAACATGTTAATGTGTAATACTTCCCTGACTACAGTTATGGGAGGACTTACTAAGAGCGGAACCGCGCCTTGTTCATCTTCTAGCACTGCCTTCCTCCACCCCTCCAGACTCAGTGCTTCCGAGTTCACTCCAACTACCATCTTCTTGATATCGGCGACAACAAAGATGTTATGATGCGCCATGGCGATATGGAAGTTAACATCAACATTCTTGATTCCTCCGGAGCCGAGTCTGTCAATCACGGCGTTGAGTCGCTGACCAAGGGTCATCATCTTCACGACCTGGAGGCCGTGCTCGCCGGCGTGAAAGGCCAGGCTGAGCTGAAACCCCTCCCGCTTTTTCAACTGCAGCAGCGGCGCGAACACGTCGTATATACCTGCCGGAGCTTTCCAACTGCCGACATCGATCTTAATCGTCAACTTCCGCAGCTCGCGGTCCTTGGGCACTACGCCGATGCCAAATACATCTGTTTCGAGAAACATCTTGATTTCATCTGGGCTGTTGATCGCAATGCTCGTGCAGTGGTCGTAGAACCACTCCGCAGCCTCGACGGCTGCGGCGCGGTGCATGTAGTGGGTTGGAATCTTGGTGAAGACGGCTTCAAGAATGTCGACGCCGCCGATGGTGAGGGTTAAGAGGGATGTGTAGTTCATGGCGCGAATGACGGCGTCTGACCAGATGTAGGAGTAGATTTGGTCGCGGAGTTCGCGGGGCAGACGCTCGTGCATGTGCATGGTGAGAAGGCGCACTGAGTCTGGGGAGAGGGAGCTGAAGGAGATTCAGAGTACGCTCGGGGGATGATATTAAGGTTGACTTACTTGGTGGTCATAATCTTGGTTTTGGTGAGGATGTTCATGCTGGCTGATAGTTGCTGGTTGGTGAGGAGGGGTGGAGGTATAAGGGAGAATAGGATTTGGATTGAATTGTTCAGGCGGTGTGTTGAATCAATTGAGATGAGGGACGGCGGTGAAAGTAGAAATAATCTTGGCGTGGTGGTTTGGGTCAGGTCGTCGTCGCCTTTACCTTGCACCTACTCTAGGCTAAGTCCATGAAGCAAGCTCTGTATGACCACATACCTCGCTGTCTTTCACTGCCTCGGCACTGCCAGCCTAGTATATGACATTCTTTACACTAATTTGGGTATTCACGCATCATCTAGAATACCTACGTCACCGTCACCCACATAAGAACAGTGATGCAAGCTACGCAGCATGAGTACTCAATTTACACTATCCCTCTTGGAGGGCCCCCACTATCCCAGTAATGCAGTACATAGCCTATGGAATGGGTACGGGAGCACTACAAAGCCAACAAGGCCCTTGCTATGATAGAGAGGTAGCAAACAGGATTGTGCTTCCTACGTCCCAGAGCTGCTTACAACACCAAGTTTCAAGAACCTTTCAGTGTTAGTCATGACGATGGCCATAGGATATCTATATCATTCCCAGAAAGACAGTTTCACGTTCAAACTTCGTCTCTCGAGTTTTGGTCAATGATTCGTTTGAGATACATACGGTGAGGAGCCACTAGAGGGCTCGAGCAGGACATCACGTAACGATTTGGCAAATCAAACAAGCGGATGCGGAGCTCGAAGCCCTCCCCTAAATGTAGATTCTCTGGCCCACTAAAATAACTCTATACTGTTAATACCATTATTTTTGGACTCGTATTAATTATTGATAGCTAGGTTGCGAGGCTTCTAATTCTTTGGCTTGACTCCATGATTTAACACACCATTGTCGAAGAGACCAAGTATATCGGACGGGTAGGACACTGGAAGGTCTATTAAGAACGCAAGAAGCTATTTTAGAGCCTACGAAGTAAGCTGTTGTCCCACGACGTTCCTCTTGGCGAACTGCGGAGTAGTCAACGAAATCCATGAAGACGGTAGAACTTTCGTAACAGTCACGAACTGCAGAACCAAAGAGTATGCAAGCGCTTTCCAAGCTTCGGCGTCCCAAATATGCAAATAGACTGTGTCTTGAATTTTGCGGGGCAACCACTGGGAGGAGCTCTTGGGTGAATGCCAAAAGTGCACTTTCAGGTGAGGATCCTGCCAGAAAATTAATGGGCTGATAGCAGAACTGGGAAACTCATTACTTACTTCTACAAATCCAGTTTCTTCTTGACAGACCCCATGTTAGGAGGTGGAGACGAAGGCCGTGGGAGGAGGTGCGACGAAGGAAGAGGTTTGCCTTTTGCCAAGCTTTTGTCGATCTAGAACGCACCTTGGGAGGGTGCTGTGGTGCTCTCTTGAGAGAAAGAGGTGAACGGAAACCTCCACTGGCAGTGGGTAGCAATCGTAGCTCGGGACAGGCATACTTAACTATCACCATATTAAGATGAAATATATAACCGTATCTTGGCAAAGATTCATATGCCCGTATCAAGGCCGATAGCTTATCCTTCCCAAATCGTCCTCCTCTTCCCAAGAGAGCCTCCTCGACATGTCCTCAGACAAAAGATCTTCGTTCGAAGGTAGCGAGATGAAAGATACATCAGAGCTGCGGATGTTCGGTAATCTCGGTGGAAGATCCGAATTGTACGTCGTCATTTCGAAATTCTCAGATGAGCGAAGGCCTCGTGTGGAGTCCGAGTCCGCTAAATCAAGTTAGCATGCGTTGACTACCCACACGATACTATCAGAGAATGGAGTTTCCGCTCACCGAGTAAGGATTTCTTCTCATCCATCAATCCAATATACGTATTTTCCGCTTTGTCTTCCATATCACTCACCGTCTCTTCATCCTTCAAGATATCACCCATTTGCGCGCCGCACTTGAGAACTGATAGCGAGCTCGACTTCCACAGCGGGAGTCTGTGTTGGTACGAATAGAAAATAGTAATGAAGAGGAAGCCCGTACCCCCAAGCACACTCACTACGGGCAGCGCGATCCAGCCCCAGCGTACCTTGTAAACTGTGACTGCCGTAGAACCCAGGAGGACATTTCGGTACTCGTCGTTTGTGCGAAAATTAATGCTCATACTCGTAGCTACGGATTCGAACATTGCAGTGATGTTCATGGTGAAGATCTGTTGCATGGCAGCGGGTTGGAATTGGGGACCAGAATCAGTACTAGAGTCTGTTCCCTGATCGCCACCTTGGTCTTGCCCCTTTTCTTGTTGCGGTGGAGACTTAATGTAGAATCCTGTTGCGCCAAGTGTTCGTCCTCCAGACTTGACGAAAGTCGAATTCATGAAGTATCCAATAGAATTCAGTGCCGCCTGAGTGATGTTGAAGCCAGTGTTATTTGCCATCAGTTGGAGGTCGGTCCTGGGGTAGAGGTACGGTGTCCACAGCGAGCCTGATGACGGGTTGGGTGTATCGGTAGATACTGGTTGAGATGATCCGTCCGAAAGAACTACCGGGAGGACGACTACATTCTCAGTGAGACTCGCATTGACGACCTTGGACGTTATATTCTGAACACAATAACTGAGTCCGCATTCCATGGCTTTGAAGTCGGATAACCCTCCAGGCTGATTTCTATTTAGCCGATGAATAATGGTAAGTGCATACAAAAGAGTATCATTTTTCTGGAAAGCAATCGTTTTCGAGCGGTTGCTGGTCCCGTACGTCACCATGTCGATAAAATAGTCTTTATAGTCTTCGATGTAAAGCCCGTTAGGAAGGCTGAAGGTGTTGACAGGGGTTGTCGCCGTCAGATTCTTGACTTTGTTGAAGGCAAATTCAGCACCTTGAAGTGATCTATTGTGCCCCAAGCTCACCCATTTTTGGGTCAAATTTCCAGTGATGTCTGCGCAAGAGCTACAAACCCCGAGACTAAGAAAAGGTTTCCAAGAACACTGGGTGCCGGAACATCGGAACTCGGTTTGTTGGAGGATGGTGTCCTTGGGCTCGGATAACCCGGCCATAATTGCAGATTGAAGCGAGAAATCAATTGTGGGAACATAGCTGACTTCAGAAGCTATGCGACATCAGCGCATACTTTCGAATGTAGAGCACGTGGCCTACCTCGGTTATTCAGGCTATGCTGGGTTCCCTTTGCGTATCGTATCGCAAATGGGATGGAAGTAGAATTATCAGGCGTCTGAATCTGTCCCAGTCCAATGACTTGTTGCACGAATGGATCAATCGCAAGCGATAGTATCGTGATGACAGCGCCGATGGATGCAAGCGATCTAAATTCCACACATCAGCAATTCACATCCAAAGACACGATAGTTCTAGCTTACCTGAATTGCATACTCCACAGTAAACTCACACTTCCATTCGGCCCACGGCTGGCCCCGTCATAGAGATCGAAGTCGATTAACTTTCGTTTTCTCTGCGAAAAGGAAATATATTTCCATTGACTAAGGCATGCGGAAACCGTGAACAAGAGCAAACTTTTCATGACCGTAGAGAAGATTGAAACCCAAGTATTCAGAGATAGACCGTGCCACGTAAATGGTGCTTTGTTGAAGTAGTACCCGAGGAGGAAAAATACCATAACTAAGGCGAGCCATGCAGTGAAGATCGACTGAACCTCTGGAAACCATGAATCTTTAAGAAGATAATCGAAACTCTGGGTAACCTGTCGTCGTCTTTTCAAGCTGAGGAAAGCCATTGGAGTGCGCCTCTTCGAGGATACGGATACATGAGGGGTGAGCAACGATGTGAATGAGCGGCAGAGCGAAAGGTTGAGAGTGATAGGAGCCTCGGAGATGAGGCTGTAGGAGCTGATCTGGCCGAGCTTATGTCTTTTTCCTCGGAGCTGGAGCATGCTGACTAAACGTAGGAATCCTTCGCGAAACTTAGAAACTGGCCAGGATTTTGTGGTGGCTGTGGAACGTTAGCCCCCAATATAGGAAGGCTAGATCACGTGCCTAGACAAAAACATTCTAGCGTGTTTATTTTTAGCTTGACACTTGGGAAGCGTTCAAGGGCGGGACAACTTATCGAGCCTTAAAAGGTTCTCCCCCAATACCAACGTTACTCTTGATTTTCCATTGCTTTCGGCCTTGCGAACATAGGATGATATTAGAATGCCTAGCCGGGAGCAAGAAATATCTCTTCATTACATAGTTGCTAGGTACCAGCTATGTATGTAGCCACGGCTTCGAAAATTGAGAAATGGAAATATTCCAAATGCTCTATTCCCGGTAATGCATTGCTGAGTAGACCATCGGTGAGAAACGAATAATTGGCGGAAATGGTTAAGGTGTGAGGGACAAGATCTAGACGTCGAAGCGGTAATGTCTGCATCAATTTAAGGGCTTGTTGTACTCCTTCCTTGCCCCTTCTAGGAAGAGTTCATAGTTTATTTCATCACAGTTCTCGTCTGAGTTGATGGAAAAATCATCAACTTAAAACCCTACGTTTCCAGTAATGCTGATACTATATTGTGGTAGCCCCGACAGCGTGAGGGTGGAGGACCTCACCCCCTAGGCGAACTCAGATCATTCTAGCGCACAATCTTGGTCGGTAATTTTAGAAAGCTAGCAGAAATAAAGCGATAGAAGGGGAATTTGTATATCGGCGCAGGATGGCGTGCTTTTCATGCTCCCTCGTTAAGGTGATTCACTAGGGGAGTGAAACTAAAGCTGGTCGGAGAGTGGAGACGTCTGCTCTGGCTACAATGATATCCTCTCTTGCTCATACGGCGTCTAGGAAAGTTCATAACTGTCACTGACACTCACCTCAACAGAGTATTTGGCGACTATATTTCGTGGCCCAATCCTTCAGTATTCGGTACCATCGATGACTCGATTCTCCCCGCTTGAAAAGGCCATAGTATTCCAATTGAGGCTCTTTTTCAGCTCACGCCGAATAGTCTTTAATCCGGTTTTGGATAAGGATGCGTTCATCAAGATAATGGTACACGATATCCTTGTAGAATTGCTCTACGTCTCGATGCTCCTTTAGCTATGTATCGTCCTAAAGGGGCCCCGGACATAGTGCTGGGGGCGGATGGTCGGCGACTTGGTGACAAGAAGGCTCGTTTTAATACGGAAGTTGATACTGTGATAAATATGGGAAGGGAGAAGATGCCTCTGGCTGAGCCTTTCGGGGATGAAATTTGTCGCAATAAAGTGTCTCGGCGGGTTAGAGATTATTCTTCAAAATCCACAATTACATTAGCCCCCAACATCTCGCTCGTCATATCTTCAACCATGATATCAAAATGATACTCAACCCTATAATTATTCTGTCCCTCAACAATTGGACACCACTGCGCCTTCCCTACATTCAGGAAAAAATTCGTAACCATAACGATGATACTTTGACTCGCGGCTCTGCTGGCGCCGCAGGTGGGGGAAGTGACAGAGCTAATGGAGGTGAGGGTGTAGCATTTGCCGCAGTCGGAGCCGCACCACGAGGTGTTGTAATGGTCGGAGAGGGATCGGGAGGCTGCAGCTGTGTAGAACCCTGGGGCTACTTATGTCTAAGGGTCGTTAGTGACTATGGGGAGGGGGATGCTTACCTGCCACGAGAACATGGAGTTGCTACTCGCCAGCCCGCAACCACAGGCTCCCTTCTGTCTATCTGAATATCTCGTTGCCGTTGCTTGTAATATCCAAGCCGGGATCACCGTCGTCGCTACCATAAAGGGGTATAGTTCCCTTCATCGTTCTACGGCCCAAATTCGAAGTCGAATTCAAATGAATGTGAGAATGGAGAGACTAATATATGATAGAAGTAGAGGCAGAAGGGATTTTCAATAACTTAGCTAAGGGGGGTAAGCCATAGTAGAAGTTTTATACTTCCTTCCCGGAAACCATTTCGGCCTAACCGGACCTTGGAAGCCAGATCTCTAGATCCTCTAATATCGTCTATTGTTGCCACCATCCGCTGTGGGGACTGCAATGCTTATTTCGAAACAAGCTTTCACGTCCTTTACCATCAACAATTGAAATTATGTTGTACTGTGTTAGGCTTCTAAAAATTTGAAACCGCCGTTGTGGAACGAACAGAGATGTCAGAAATCTTGTGGAACCCGACTTAGAATCTCAAAGCCGAGAACCGAGTCAAATATTGCACCAGTCCGGAATCAAAGAGAATGTTTAACCACCTTGCAAGAAATAAAGGAAAAATGCAAAGACCAAGACGAAACGAAATAGCCAAGTAGTGAATTGGGGGGGGAACCTTCGCTTAGAAACGCATCTTCCCGAGCTTATCCCACTTTGAGACCAGGCGCTGCACTCTCTTGCCGTGGGTCCCAAACCCCTTCTACAACACACTTCACACACTTCGCACAGCGGCACTCAATAAACCAGTCCTCTCATTCTAACGGACGCCATCCAGCAATCCGGAAATAGAAGTCCCAGTACAATACATGACAGATGATGAATAAGGTGCCGCCATCTCACCCGGCAGACAGCCTTTACAAAATCTATATCGTCAGATAGAAACAGATTCCAGGAGCGATACCTCAATCCTCACCACCAACAGCGCAGTCCACGCGCGCACCGCCGATCCTCTCCAGGCACCGAAGTCGGCCCGCAGACCACACTATCAGCAGTAGAAGGCGATCGAATACCGCTGAGAGCTTCCCCTAGCAGATCGGAATCACAGCCAGCAACCCGGATGCGCACATCCATGACCCACTATCTATATCTCAGATGTTGAAATAACGAATATGGAACCGAGAGGCCCGCGTCAGAAGGCGAGTGTTGGGAAGGCTTGGGGGCGAGTTGTTCATTACTCGTCACCGCCCTTCTTCTTCTTCTTGGAGGGTGCGGCTGCGCCTTCCTTCTTCTGATGAACAATGAAGCGCGTGTAGCACTCTTCCGGATCCCACTCGAAGCCGGCGAGAATGGGTAGGTCGAGTTCGTCATCGGCCTGGGTGGACGGACGGATTAGCGAGGCTGGCTGGCCGGAGGGTGGGAGAATACAACACAGAGCAACGAGATAGAATGGAGACATACCTTCTTCTTGAACTGCTTGTAGATGGCGTCTAGGGCATCCTTGATGGTCACTCCCTTGAGGTTCCGTGCCGTGACTTCAAGCCCAAGCGGGAAGTGGAGGTCGACTTTCTTGACCATTGGCGTGCACAGCGGCTTCTTCAACGTCTCCTTCTCATCTAATGATGCAGGCGAGGTGTTCAGCTTCCTACAAACCCCATGAGTCAGCCTTATCCTCCACAATTGGCAAAGCCGGGCCTAGTCCGAACGACAACAACACCACCCGTCATCAACAGGCTGGCATCAACGCCGGAGATAGCGGAATCGTCAACATACCAGTTCAGCTTCTGTGTCTCAGGAGCAATCTTGATGGTCTTGCCCTCCTTCTCTGCCGGACAGTCAGCCCCACATCCCCTCTCACCTAACCACAACAGGAAGGAACGAGGCTACTTACCTAGGTCAGCGATATTGAAGACATTCGTTGCCGTCGAGCTGCCTCTCCGGTGGCCCTTCTTGAGATCCTTGGCGGGGGCGTCCTCAACAAGTGAGTCGACTTTGGACAGGGTATTCTGAGTTTCAGCTGCCATGGCCGCAATGGTATGACTGCTGTTCAGCAAGGGTTGAGCGAGCTGGACAAGGGGAGGGCAATGTAAAGAGGAGGTATGGGTAGACAAGGAGGGTCAGTGGATGGGTGTATACGGGGGTGGTGTGGTGTAGAAGGAGACAGGTGTTCGATTTCAGATTCAGGCACAGCAGAGTGTGTGAGAGGAGAGAGAGAGGAAGGAAGGAGGGCGCAGCCAGCGAGATGAGGGGTCAGTCAGAACGCCTGCGGAATGGCCAGGAGGCCGGCGTGTCACTTGATCACCACACCACCACCCAATGGAATGTCGCCAATCCGGTTAGACGCCCCAACTGACCCGTGCACGGACGTCACGTCTGGGGTAAAATGCGGGGTGAGCCCTCACGCCGGCCCCTTGCGAGGTGTCCAAGCCCGAGAAACCGCTGGATTCGAAGGTACAATGGAAGGACCTCGCTCTTGAGGGTTTTCAAGCTTGATTGAGGCCGTTTGCGTGGGTTGTTGCTGTGTTGTGATGCTGTTCATGGCCTCTCCTGCTGGTGGTGAGACCTCTCACGCGACCTCGTCCTACGTCATCAGCCATCAGGCGTTCGAATGAGAAAGTCGCGCATCGTTTCAGCCAAGTCGCAAGCATCACTCACACATCGGTTCACATGAGGCAGGTACCGACAAGAACCACGATACGAATCAAGCAAGAGGCCCACGCAATCGGATAGAAGTGGAAATAGCTTGGCACTCAGCCATGGGAATCTGAGCAAGCATGGGATTCGCAAAGCCCAATGCTGCAGGAACCATTCGGAGGTTTTGATGCCTAGCTTTGCGGTGCATATGGATCCGAACTTCATCTTGTAGATGCATCCACCTCTTTGGAAATGTATACTCATGCCCGCCTAAAGTACAGCCTGGCTATGAATGTCCTTAGATGTTCATAGGCTGATACATCTCCTCTAGATACTTCTCCCCCTCATACGTCAATGTCTTCCCCCTCGATTCCAGCGCCTCATCCATTCTCTCCTCAGTACTAAACCCGATGATGGGGGACGTGACCCTCCTGTTGATCCACACCAAAGCAACCGTGCTCATCTTCCATCCATGTTTCTTTGCCAGCTGCTAGAACATCTCCGCCGACTTGCCCGTGTGCAGTGCTACATCAATCTTCTTCGTGAACTTACCCGTGTCTGCCCTTACTGGCGGAGCGGGCCCTACTATAGAGCCAGACTTGTCCAGCGCCAGTCACATCATATACCACGGGATTCCCTCCCGCTACGGTAGCTCATCGCTCTCTATCCTCGTAGCCGCTTTTGCCAACTTATCGGCCTTTTCGTTTCCCTCGATCCCCGAGTGCCCTAGGATCCAGTGCATCGTGACGTAGTGCATCGTGATGTTATTCATCCTGAGCTTCGTGATCTCTGCTACCACTCCCTAGCACGTGCTTGGCCTCCAACTCCGTACCGAGAGCAGCGCCGACTACGCGTCCGCGAAGATCCGTATGCTGGATGCGTGTACAGGGCGCCCAGCAGCGTCGCAGGTCGTACATGACGGGTCCCGCGGCTAGTTAGCCGCCTCGCTGATGGCTAGTAGCTTAGTGAGGTGCGCGTCTGCCTGCTCGGAGCTGGCCACCGTCTTCGAGATACATACTTTAGATAGAAGTGCGTAAATGCCAATTCTCGCCCTGCCGTTGCGTACGGATACATCCACATAGATGTCGGCCTATCCAAGCTTACACTATCTCTTTGGCCCGCTCTTCGTCACACACCACCACTTCGGCTCGAGCCACTCACGGCGGGCAGGCATATGGCTTGACCTCCAGCACCTCGTCCACCTGCACCACGCACATCTCCGCGATCTGCTGGAGCGGCAACCTGTGCCGTCTGTAGAGCCTCTGTCGTTTGATCATCCAGTGCGGGTGGGACTGACCCAGCTTGTGAATAGACACCCAGAAAGAGATCGCCTGTTTGTGAAGCCTTTGCTCTAGCGGCAGCAGTCCGGCCTCGACCTCTGCAACCGACAGTGCGACGGTGCGGAATCCTCTGATGACTACCTGTGCTGTGATCCTCTGTACCTGTTGTAGAAGCCGCCTCATTCCTGTGTCGCAATCGGGTACCATATCGGCGACCCATAGTCCGCCACCGGCAGCACCGCACTCATCCCCAGCTGCTTGACCGTCTTCGGCTGGAGTCCCTTTAGTCTGTGCAATGCCAGCGCTGCCTTCGTTGCCTTGCCGGCTTTGTCCGCCAGGTGCACTTTGAACCGCACTTCTTTGTCGAGCGTGACCCCGAGAATCTTGACCCTGTCCGTTGGCGGGACCTCTTTCCCTCTGAACCGGAGTGGCCCGCTGCTGTCCCTGCCAGCTCCTTTGTATCGCGCCAGGTGGATGAAAGGTGTTTTAGCAGCCTCGAATTCGGCGCCGCTAGTCCGTTCCCACCTCTCGAGCATCGGTACGATCTCGTCTTGGATAGTCTGCGTGTTCTCCTCCGCCGAGGGGCCCGCAATCCACGCTGGGTAGTCGTCGACAAACGCCATCGAGCTGCCATTCCCCGGTGCACTCTGCACCAGTACATTTAGGTCCAGCATCCTCCCTCAAGATCCGGTCTGCAAGAAACTTATTTCCACCTAAGTTCTTTGGTCTAAATTGATAGCTTCAGGGACTTTATTGACCGTTGACATGTCCTCCTGCAGTCCAGATAAACCGCTCCTACCAGTGCTTCAATTGTCGAGGCAGCAGTCTCCTGTGGCACTTCGCCCTTCTGTCACGGATTTTTCGCGACACAGTTTACCAATCCGCTTTCTTGAGCTAGCCGGCTCAGCTTCCTATTCCTGCATAACTCTTTCACTTCATCAAAGCCCTCCTCTGACAAGGTCAGTCTCTCCAACCACCTTCTGGAATATGCACTTACGAGTACTGTTACCAGAGCTATACTATGGTTTCAGAACAGTCTCCTGTTAGACCAAATCGCCCAGGAGAGTAAGACGCTTATTCCCTTCCACGTCTCCTTGGATATCCTCGCTCGAAGCCGGTGCTCCTGCGGCGAGCAATTCTTCGTCGAGCAAGTCTCAGTTCGCGAATCGATAGCGGAAGATGTTCTCAACAGGATGCTCTGCCATTGTGCAAGATGACCCTGCTTTAAATATTGCGTCCATATTGGACCTCCAATAAAGGCGCAATATCGTTAATAGTAGATATGCACTGACATAATGGGATCGCGTCTAGTCAGTCAGGCATTGTTGAAAACTTCAGTGGCGTCCACACAATCGCTGGGGGAGCAACACCCGTCGAGTACCGTATCTGATATCTATTAGTAAATGTCAGCGGGTCTCTACGACATGATGAAATATGGTCCAAACAGCCAGCCGATACACCCCTCTAGCTAATAGGTGGCTTTGGCCTCGTGTACTACCCACTGCATCTTTGATGAGAAGACGATCGGCGAATTCCGCAAGAAAGACTTGAATAGCATGAATGTCCTTGTCAATGGAGATAATATTGTTGGAATCATCGACTGGGACACGGCTGGTTGGTACCCAGAGTATTGGGAAATACGACCGCCTATAACGTCAATCCATACAATGGGTTCTAGAAGGATGAGATAGGCAAATTTCTCGAAGAATATCCAGAAGCAGCTGAAATGGAGCAGCTCAGGCAGAAATACTTTGGAGCATTTTGACCGGCAAATCTATGGATCATACTTGCTTTGTATATTCCTCTAATTCTTTCGAACGACCTAGGAGTAGCATTTCTCCTCAGACTAAAGTTTCTCCAGTGCAACCTATGAACCAGAATCAGAAATGAGTCTAGTCTATTGTGCGGATATCGGTGCACCTCAGGGGATAACCTCCTTCTCCTCCAGCAGATCATATGTCGGCACGGTACTAGCCCTCCATGTCCCCGACCCATCATATCGCCTCTGTTGTCGCTTTTGCGCGATATAGATATTCGAGGTTTGCTCAATCCTCTGCCAATCCGTTACCCTTGTTCCTAAACTCTTCCTATCAGCTTCCAACGCCGCAATTGCATCCCTGACCCAGATGCGGCAGGTCCACGCTGGATTATCCTGTACAAGGGGTACTTCAGCAAGCGTCTCGGCCAACTGGGCCCCATCTACAGCCTTTCCAATCCTGACCCGCGCTAGTAGCATACTGGTTTGTGCCAGGGGATATCTAGTGCCTCATAATGCTATACATGGCGCCCAGGCCTCGGTGGATCGAGTCTCCGTCTTGTGTGGTATCGAAAACCCCTTCCGCCTTCGACTTCGTTCTTAGGCCCTATAATAATGGCCTAGTGGTAGGTGTTGGGGTCCTGCCCGCCACGAGCGTATATAGCGACATAGATGCAGTCTTTGTTAGAGGCAGCCATTGTAGCTAGTGAAGAGAAGTTGAAAGGGTTCTGTTAACGCCGTTAGCTAGATCCTGTCTCTAGAGCCACTCTCCACATACAGATCTAATTAACAATCAGAACGTGTTTGAGGTCGGTATTTGGGAATAGATGGTCTTTCTAGAAAGGGTTTCTTCGCTGTGTGTTGGCTTATTGTTTCATTTTTGTCACTTGATAATGACCGAATATACAGCATTCGATTTAAATATACATTTAAAACTTTAGTTGGATATTTACTCTACCTAATATGGAGCGATTCGATTTTGCGGATTTTGTTTAATCTTCAAAATGGCGAGGTTGCGAGGCGATTCGCTTGTTCCACAAAGCGCGGGCTGCGTCGCAAGGACAAATAAAAGACGACCGCATCGTCACTCAGACCATCATCCATACCTCCCCCATCCTAAATATATAATCTCCATCACGTTAATCGCCAGCGAGAGCCTGCCATTACACGCTTCTAGACTGCTTCGTACAACTAACTATCAAACGAAAAAGCCTCGCAGAGCCGCCGATTCTCTTAAACTATCGTCATTCAATATAATCAGCTGCGCCTCCCCCGTTAATCTCCAAACTATTAGAAACCATGCCTCGCAACAAACCCCGTCTCCAGCTCGCTCTCTACGCGCGGTCGAAGCACCCTGGAACTTACCACTACGCGCTCTTAATTTCTCCAAAAAGCACCAAAAAACAGCAGGCCAATTCGGCCACAAAACATCACGTCAAAAACACGCTTCAAAATATCTCCGGCGAGCTCACACAGCCATGGCGCTACGAGCGTCTTGCCATCTCGGATATCCAGCTTGAACAACGTCTACTAGTCCGTATCGTTGTAGCTAAAGTTACGTCCCCAGATGCACTTGAAAGGATCCTTGAAGCAGTGCCGGTTTACCAGATCGATGACCCGAATCAAGCGAAAGCGCAATCGTTCACTTGTTTGACGTGGGTTCGAGCTGCGCTAGAGGAGCTGGGGGTGCATGGAGCAGTAGCTGAATTGGGGGAGTGGGAGGGGATTCAAAAGAAGGCACTAGAATACGTGGAGAGGAAGAAGGAGGTGGGGAGGTGGAGTGTGGGCTGGAAGGGGGAGGTAGGGGTGCCGATGTTGGATTTACTTGACGGGAGAGAGGTTGTTGGGTAGGAGGCCGGACTTAATCACCCAATTGCAATTCAGAGACAGCATTAAATATCAAGGTGACTAGCAAAAGGATCAACAAAACGTATTTACTAGAGTGCTTTATAAAGGGTGAACTTATGCATTCCCGTTCAAATTCTCAATTCATTCGACAGCTAAAAGCCAACCTTGAAATCTCTATTGGCCGTAGCAGCGGTATCCAGACGCCCATACGCAATTTTCTTGCCTGGTCGCTTCGCCAAGGCATACCCCATTCGCAGTGTTGTTAATCTAAGTCAGTATGTTAGCGTCAAGCTAAAACACTCTTAATCGGACATTACATTACATGTCTTCTATTAAAGCAACGGGCCTGATGTTTCTCAAGATCTCTGCGAGATTGTTAGGACCGGACAAAGGACGAGGGATAGGGACGCGGGACTGACGTAGCTATATAATCAAACCAGTGTGGGATCAAGAGGGAAGCAATTAGACAAACAGAAAAGGAGGCAGCCACTTGGGCCGTCACTACCTTTATGTAGGATACTAGATCATCGGTAGTTTCACCCTGCTGCCGTTAATGGGGTTGATTGGAAAGCGGGATGGTAAAAGTGCTGATGATGTACGGACTTTGTGGGGATAGAAGCGTTAACGTCGTGCGGGGCCATTCTGCCTCTTGCAGCATTGACCTAATCGCCATTGCAGCTTGTGTTTCGGTTGCATAATTCTCCGTTAGATGGGAGATGTGGCGACTGGAGTCGGGGGGTAAAGTTATGGGTTGTCCGACCAAGCATAACCTTGTTGGACAATTCATCATTCTGCACATTGGGTCACACACGGCATAATGTGAAGCTAATTCGAGATATATCGTATTAACACCCTCAAATCCAGCCAGACGATGATCAGTTTAGTTCCTCTCTGCTAATGGTATGTACATGGCTCCACCAAACTGAAGATCGTAGCGACAACGAATGCGATAATATAGTCAAGGAATCTGTATCAGCTCATATCCGCCATGCGGCAGGAATTGTTCTCAGGCCTCAAATTACTTTTGCAAGAGGCAAAGAGCGCGAACATACAGCCAGCGCAAAACAAGACGGAGCACGCATGCTGAGCCAAGGGTGGAATTTTTGAGGTGCTTGAGCCCATGGTATTGTTTTATTGAAACTGTTTTAGAGCTTATCCCCAAGGCGCCCAGTCGCATTCCACAATGCAGAAAAGCTTATATGCCCGTGAAAGAAACCCGTAATCTCCATCTCCGTAACCGCCTAATCCTCAACAATATTGCCCCGCTCCGACACGTACAGACCGTCCAAGAACTTTCGGATATCCTTATTGCGGACTCTGCAGATTTGCTGGATATCGGCAGCACTTTGGGAGACGTCCTCGAGGCTCTGTGGTGAGAGTTAGTGTAGTATTCCAACAGGGGAAATAGATGTTCCCTACGTTTCCGCTCAGCTGGAGCTCGTCCTTGACGTTCTTGGAGGCCTCGACCTCAACACCAGGCCGCATGTTGACCCTTCGGACGATCTTCTCGCCGATAAAGTTCCTGATCTCAACTTCCCAGCAATCGGTGTCCTTGTTCTTCTCGAGGTTAACGTTGATGGGGAAACTAGATTCAGGGTTAGTATTGTTCACCCTGGCCCTGCCTAGATCGAGCGTATCGCAAAGCCTGGGATTGGCTGCGGTCGGAAGCAGGAGTGGAGGAGCGTACTGGGCATAGACGTATCGCATCCTATGAATACACGTTAGCCCACAAGTGCATAAATTCGCTTCGCTCTACGCTTACTTGTACTTGAATCCCTTGGTGACGCCAATGATCAAGTTGTTCTGCGCCATGTTAGCCCAACCGTTCCACTCGAGCCTTCACTTCCGGTATCTAGACGTGGCAGTGAAGAAGACGTACGATGATGGTGCGGACGGTTCGAAGGGTAGCGACGCTCTTTCGGGATCCGTGGTGGAGCTCGATCTTGATGACATTCTGCTTCGGCTGCGCAATCCTTAGTCCACATTTCCAGCGTTTCTTCACTGTTCAGACGTACGTGCGAGAAGCTGACAGCCAAGTGACCGAGTGACTTTGTCAGTTTTCCCTAGTATCGTGAGTATTCCGTTCGTGGAGGGTATCGCGGTGGTCTTACTCGAGGGCCTGGAGGTGGAAAGCTATCAGTCAATGAAGCTCGCTAGTCTCAACAATTGGGAAACGGTACCTTCGACAACGACATTCCTGGTCTTAATGGAGACCTTCACCCCCTCGGGGATATCGAGCAGTTCCTCTGAATGTCTGTACCGAGCTTGTCAGCTGGGTCCGCAGCGTATCCGAAGTTTTGCAGAAGACAGTTGACCGGGTGCGCAAACCCAAATAACCAATTCTCGCGGTAAAAGGACTGTAACCGATGGGAAATGGGTATGCAACAACGTACATGTACTTCATTTTGAGGGATGCTGCGGCGTCGAGTTGTTGTCGATGGGGTCGATGTCGAAATCGATTTCGTTTGTGGGCTCTGGATCGGAAAAACCACTAGCCGACTACCCGCGCTAAGCCGCTTTAGCATTGGCCGAAGCGCAACACCAACTGAGCAACTCCACCTGCATCACCCCTTCTGCATCACATTTCTAGCATGACAAGGCTGCTTGAGGGCGTAATTTTGTTGTCATTCTCATTTACCATTGATTGCACCGTGAGTATTAAAACTTAAAACTATCCCAGTTCACCTTTTGTTGGGGCACTCGTGTTAAGTCAATAACATCTCCACAAAACCGTCCAGCTCATCAGTCATGTCAACTCCCAATACACTTAATTTCCTCCCTCTCCCTCATGCCGGTGCAATCTTCCTCCTCATCCACCCCATTAACGGTCCTCCCTCGAAAGGCCCGTCTCCACCTTTAACCTCTCCTTTGACAACTTCAGCCCATTCCAAACTCTTAGCATCTGATTCGACTTCTACCTCGCCCATTCCTTCACAAAACGCGCTTTATCTCCATATCCGTCTCTGCCCCCCTCCTCCTTCCCCACATTTTCTCCCTCTTCTCTCCTCTGACGCCTCCACCAAGCCCCCAACGACAGCTGCAGAGGTAGAAGGATCATCAAAGAACCCAATGGCATCGTATCCACCAGTTGTTCTGCGTATTTCGTTAGCATAACAATCAAACCCGCTTCTCGCACTTCCTCCTGAGCCAGTGCCACGGTATCTAGGAATGGTGAGAACGGAAAGGTTTCCGGAAGCGTTATGCAAAGCCCAATGGTGAGGATTCGGTAATAGCAGTATCGCGTTAATGTCTCGTGTAAATTTACCCATATAAACGCCAGCGACTCTGGAAAATACACTGCGAGATTGGAGGACGTGGTCGGTGTCCACTCTGCATATCCGCAGTGAGAGCACCTGCAATGAGTGTGTCAAGGTTACTTTCGTAGAGTTTCTCCGCGAGAGCAGTCGCGGACATCGTGAGAGTAATGTTGTAGGAATCTTACTGTATTTCTCGAACAATGCGCATGAGTCGGGGTAGTCGGATCACTTGCTGCATGATAGCTTTGTATGCACTACAGAAGGCGAGGCATTCTGTGGCATACTCTGGAGGCAGGAAGTATAGTCACTCTGTGGTGTCGAAGGCGGAGTCGGCTCCGTTTAGAATGGCTTCGGTGAACTCGAAGAACATTTACCATGAATCCAAGCATATGATAAATCGGATGATGTCTGACCTCATGAGGAAGTGAAGAATCAAACAACGATCGACTTAAATCATCCTCATCGGCATGCGGTCCCCTCGCCACAAGCAAATCTGTCAATCCGCGACTATAAGATACCCAGCGATTATTCGTCGGCATGTATAGCAACAACAATAGCACCCTCTCCGAGTTTCGAATTCTCCTTTACGAATTTCGGCACTTTCCTATTACGATACTAAGCCCAATTCTTTTTTAAGAATGGACTGCATCTTAGACGGTGCTCGTCACACTGTGGGTCAGAATTGGGGAAATTTTTGTTTATTATTATTTGCGGTATGGGGATTTTACAGAGTTCTAATGCGATATGATACTTGCTTTAAATTTGCACTGTCGGCAGATGTCGCATTTACTGATTCGGGTCATTTGATAACTACTGAAGAACAAGTAGGCGCGAGTCGTGATTAGGGTGAAGTTATATGACCGTAAGAGAACTTCAGAAAAATGTATATAATGACGTAGAATGGTAAATCGAGGCTTGAATCATAACTGAACGGTCTATATCTTCACGGTTTCAAGGTCCACACCTTTGGAGACCTTCACCAAAGCAGGTAATTCCATCCTACAAGGCAGCCCCTGACATTATTCTTACGCAGACAGACTTAATATTACCCGGAATCAGGGACAGACCGTATATGCAACTTCGCAAAAACTAGCTTGAAGGGGTAGTTTTGACATCGATCTCGGGTCGGAGCAATAACTTATGCTGATGTAACTACGTGAAGCGGCTGAGTCACTCACTCGGAGACACCGAATTTATGAGCTGTAAAAATGATTCTCTAGATGGTAAGGGGACGCGGGAAGCAATGCTGAAATTGAATATGAGTTTGCAGGTCTTTTACATACTCTTTCCCTTTGACTGCGTGCTTTGGAGTAGAGAAAGGCAGTGGAATCTAGCACACTGATTATATTCGGCTCCTAGCCCGTCGTCTTCTCTGCAGTGAGCGCAAGATTTCATAGAGAATAAAACCAACAGTTTTCCATCTAGCTACTTCTCCATAAATACTACGTCCATACTGGGACGTCAATACCAGACGCCAGGGTTGTTCATTTCCGCTGACCACGGCCAAACTGATCTATGTCCAACCAGAAGCACCATTTCTTCTGCGATGCGGGTGGTGGTTTCACTTCTTCCGTCAAGCTGGCGGTTCGAAGATCAGTACGACAAACAGCATCACCATAAGAGATTGCAAACTGAAACTTCCCTAAGTAACCTGTCCGACAGTTGTGAAGCTAGGGCTGGAGTTTGTGAAGGACTTTTAGTTAGGATGAAGGACAGATTGGGTGTCTTAGCCGCAGAAATCAAATCCAATACATATTACTAACAGAAACGTAGGTTATCGCTCACCGTGATGGATGGTGAAGCTCGGGGCAGTTTGGAAAAGGTTTGGAGGAGTTGCCAAGATGCGTCTGGATAAAAGATTTTCCGATCCTCGAAAATTTCGGTTTGCAGCGCTAGAATTTTGTAAGACGATTTTCAGTCAATATCAACGACTTTTTATATAAACCATGGGACCCCGTAGAAAACGCCAGCGCCTTTCTGTAGATGGCTCAGAAGCCGTAACTGCGATTGGAGAGCCTGAACAGCCCTCCGATGTCGTCGAACCCACTCCCGAAGGCCCTCCAGCTCCCAAACAGGACCTCCAACACCGTCGCTCGCTCTTCGTTCGCTCCCTAGCCGCGACTGTCACTACCGAAGACCTCACGGAGCACTTCTCCGAGTCGTACCCAATTAAACATGCCCTAGCTGTCCTCGACCCAGCGACTAAGCAATGTAAAGGCTATGGATTTGTTACCTTCGCCGACGCCGAGGATGCCCAGAGGGCGAAAGAGGAGCTAGATGGCTCGCAATTAAAAGGACGAAAAATAAGGATAGAGATTGCAGAGCCTCGCAATCGCGACGTGGACTCTGAGGTTCCGGGCCACAAGAAGAGCATCCCCTCTGCCGCTTCTATTGAGGCGAAGGCAGCGCGAGTGAAGGAGAGGAAGGAGCAGCAGAACCATCCTCCAAAGCTAATTGTTCGCAATCTACCGTGGAGCATAAGGACGCCAGATCAATTGGCGGTGTTGTTCCGGAGCTATGGCAAGATCAAACAGGCTATTTTGCCAAAGAAGCCGGATGGGCTGCTCCACGGCTTTGGCATTGTTCTTTTGAGGGGGAGGCAGAATGCTGAGAAGGCAATTACAGGGGTCAATGGCAAGGAGGTGGATGGCAGGACACTAGCTGTTGATTGGGCAGTGGAGAGGGAAGCGTGGCAAAATCTTCAGAGTACTGCCCAGGAAGAGAATGCAACTGACCAGGCAGGTGGGCCGGCAACCCCTGAGAAGGATTTCATTATGGAATCAGACGCTGAAGATGGGGATGGCGAAGCAGACGAAGAATCCGACTTAGGAGATAGCAACGCCGACTACGAGGACATCTCCGACAGCGAGGATGGTGGTGTGGAGATCGAACCGGAAACGACAAAACCAAAGTCCGACTCTAACAACACACTCTTCATCCGAAATCTTCCCTTCTCAGCCGACGATGAAGGCTTGAAGGAACACTTCGAACAGTTCGGACGCATCCGCTACGCTCGTGTAGTCCTCGACCATGAAACCGAACGACCTAGGGGCACTGGGTTCGTATGTTTCGCGCAAGAAGAAGACGCTACCAGCTGCTTGAGGGGCATCCCACGAACGAAGCTTCAGAAGACAACTGCCGAAAAGGATGGCTCTACCTTCACTGTCACCCGTTCGATCCTCGAGAACGAAGATGCAGACCCGACGGGAAAGTACACAATGGACGGTCGCATCTTACATATCTCACGCGCAGTCGATAAAAGCGAGGCCGCACGTCTCACTGCCGAGGGCGCTGCATCACGCTTTACTCGCGATAAAGACAAACGCCGACTGTACCTTCTATCTGAGGGAACCATCTCCACAGACTCGCCGCTCTACCAGAAGCTCTCTCCATCGGAAATCACACTGAGAGAATCCAGCGCCAAGCAGCGGAAACAGCTTATCCAGAGTAATCCCTCCTTGCATCTTAGCTTAACCCGATTATCCATCAGAAACATTCCCCGAAGTATCACGAGCAAAGACCTAAAGGCCCTCGCCCGCCGGGCTGTTGTTGGCTTCGCCGAAGACGTCAAAGCTGACAAGCGGCAAAAGCTGTCCAAGGAGGAGCGTCTCCGCGGCGGAGAAGCCATGCTCGTCGCCGAAAAGATGCGCAAGAAACGCGGTAAAGGCATCGTCAAGCAAGCTAAAATCGTCTTTGAGACACCCGAAGGCAGTAAAGTCGCTGAAGGTACCGGCGCTGGCCGAAGTCGGGGATACGGCTTCATCGAGTACTACACACACCGAAGCGCGCTGATGGGACTGCGCTGGCTGAACGGCCATGCTGTGGACTACCGAGTTAAGGGCGAGTTGCCAAAGGCAAAGAAAGCGGCCAAAGAGGCAATGGAGGATAGGAAGAAACGTTTGATTGTCGAGTTCGCTATCGAGAATGCAAACGTAGTTCATCGGCGCAGCGACCAAGAGGCCAAAGCGCGAGAGCACCCGAGAGAGAAGACTAAGGGGAATGTGGATGGCGTCAATGGTGGTACTGGCACGACATCTGTACCTGCCTCAGCAGGCAGCGACTCGAAGAGACAGGGAAGTAAACGAAAACGTGACTCGAGTGCTGCTGCGTCTGCTGTTTCGAGGAAGGGTACGAAAGCGCGGGGGACAGGCGCGGCTGCGGGAAAGGAGGCTAATGCGAGTATGCCGACGAGGGATGGGAAGATCGCGCAGAGGTCGAATATTATTCGGAAGAAACGCATGGTGAGACGGGCGAAGAAGGCGGGTAAGGCTGTGTAGATCAATAATTCTTTGGGTTTTTTGAGAAGGAGATTGGAGTGTCGATCAGTGACTCGAGTGACCAAGCTGTGGGTCGTAAATCATAATTATTAACTACCTAAGTTACTGTAGATACACTCCACACCAACATATGTTCCATCCATGACCCCCCATATCCTCTCTTTCTCACCCCCACTCCCATTCCCACCCCATTACCCCTGTCTCCACATCCAAACATCTCTACTGCAATTTTCCGGCCGCACCGTGAAATGATTCGTCCGAAACTTTTCCTTCGCTCCACTCCACACTTATCACATCCCTTGTAACTCGCTTTCGTGTACCACGTGTGCTACATGCGTATTCGCTGCCATGCATTGCGGGCTGGCTCCGACGGCTGGGGGCATGGGGTTAGGGGTGCGGTGATGTGCAGCAACCGCTGGGGAGAGAATGAGTGGGGCTGCGATGGAATGAATTGGCGGCTTCATATTTGCCTTGACTGCACTCTCTATTTACCAGCGTGCAAGCTTTACTACAAAATTTAAGTCTATAACAAATCTTAAAGAATCCTGTAGCTGAGCCCTGCTGTAGATAAGGGAATCTGGTCAATACCTGTAGGATTCTACTTGAGCCTCTTTATCTAGGGTTCATATCTATATACGCTTTCTACAACTAAAACTATGGGTCTATTCTTTAAGGGTGCAACACCGTGGGATGGTACAGGATAGGATGAGAAGTGGATAGCAGCACTCGTTATTCTTGTCATAACTGCTAGAGAGCGCTGGGGTGGAGAAAGTTATAGATGGTTACGGCGCCACATGATGCTCGCTGAAAAGAACCCGGCGACATCAGGTCACAGATCTGTGGGATTTTCGTTAGGTGTCCTAATGAGACTCTCTGGCAGGCAAGCCTTCGAAAAGACAAGAAAAAGGCTAGCTAAGCAATCTAAAGAGAAAAATCTGCCCCCTATTTCCTTCGAGCTAAAATTTGTGAAAGATGTAGCCATTCGTCGCATATCATACGTATGGGAGAACGCTGTCGCGGGGACTTTTGATGTGAGTACTCGGTAGTAGAATATGTAGTGTTGCTGTCTCTTTTCATGGATTGATTGGAAGCTGAGACGGTGCTAGACTGGCTGTACCTGTCTGTGGGCTGGGGGTATTGGACGTAGCGAGTCTGGAAGGATCCCAAGGATTGACCTGTATGTTCTCCAGAAGCGTTGGTGCGAGGTGGGCAGGGAGCAGGAATGCTTAGCAAGCAAAAGGGGTGTTTTTGTGCTGAGCCCCGCTAGGTGCGTTAGAGCTTCTGTACATCTGCAGATGTTCCCCAATAATCAGTCTGCGTGATGCGGGATTCAGCGGTTGAACCCAGGGGATGTGCGGAGAAAACTCATGCAGGACATCTAGCTGGCCAGCCTCGAATGAAAGGAGATGGGTAGAAGCGGATGCGGATGCATGGCTCCACTGTGAAGTGAATAATTAGAGCGTAGGGTCTTTCACCTTTCGCCTTGTCGGCACAAAAGCTTCAGTGCGGTAGCACTGACACTAGCATTAATGCAGATTATATAGAGAATGGAATGTAGCACCTCCGCTACCCAGTTCTTCAGCTCTTCATCATGTCTCAGGAAGAGGCCCGCGAACCGTGTGCCACAAATAGATTTGTACATGGAACAGTGTCCATGTGGAAAATCGGGTGGGGCTTCCAAGCCTATAGGGGATTTGCATGAGGCGCTAAGGGAGGTGGAATGAGAAAATGTGATGGAAAGAATTTACTACCACGCTATGGGCTCTGTGGTCCGCTACGTATTCACACAATATTTTCATTCATAGCTCTGTGCTACATTTGCTAGAACGTACAAAAGCCCCTTCATGGGGGCATGGAACAGGTTTCAGTGGGAATGCAGGACATGGGTAATCAGAAGGGAAAAATCTGCGAGGAAACATCTGCAGGGAAGCTGAAGGAGAAAACTCGACGCTTGGCAGTATCCAGCTCGGGCCGGCAGCGGGGCAACGGGAAGTGGCGAGAGCACGCACGACGACAGGCAAGCTAGGTGGGAGAGACACATGGGTGCAAGGGGCTTGTGCAGGTGGTTGCAGGGAACAAATGTTTGCCATGAGCAAGGCGTTCAAAAATCTGATGTATAACTTTTTCTTCATCACTTGGAGATTCCTGGCTACCCAACTCGAACCCGCTGAGTATGCTGTTTTTGCAGGGACACGGGATTGCGGAAGAGATTATGCGTGTCGCTGTGTTTCCCTATTGTAACGATAATGTGGCCGGAAGTTCCATCGTGCGTGGTTGTAGAGGCACAGGACGAGAGTTGGGGACCTAGGAGATGCTAGTCGAAGATCGAGGTGGAAAGATCGGAATCTGAATGCTGAGGTCATCTCTAGGCCAGGAAATCTTTGTCCGAATTCCTGGGTGACGGTCGCCGCCGGGCGCGCTGAAGGAGATTCGTGTGACTGGAATGACTCGAAGTTCTGTGCAGCTTTCCACTTTCGATATCCTCAGTTGGGTGACCACAGCAGGCTAGGATGGTGAATTCAAGAACCACCCACTTTTGAGATATAAAGGCGAGTGGATTTGTGCGATTTGAACCATCTCCAGATTTCAGCCCACATTGCTCCATTCCCCGCACTTCTACAGATCTGCCTGAGCACGGTGACCAAGCCTAGCCATCAAGCGCTGCAAAGATCTGCCGCCGGTGTCCGTTTATGCGTTGGAGAGAGCACCTCTACCGAAAAGGTACGTCAATCAAGCCTTGTCATTGTGGTAATATCAACTAATCCATTAGGCCAGCTTCAACTTTGACTTTAACAACTCCATTTCCGAATTCGAATTCTGCTCATCCACGTCATGTGCTTTTTCGAGAGAGTACACTTTCAACAGTGCGGACACGAAGAAAAGAGAGTCACAAGCCATTGCCACTTTGCCCGCAATGATCCCCTCCATCAATGCTTTGGTGTCTGGACGATGAAGCGAGAGTGGTGGGTCCGTGAGAGAATGTGCAAGGATTGCTGCGCGAACCAAATCCCCATGATCCAGACCAATGGAATCAGGAGGGAAAACACACAACCAGTTTACAGCATCGCAAAGGGAAGATAAGCCGCTAGAGCCTTGTACTCCATAAAGATACGACGAGATAGTTTGAGCCGGTAGCAAACCGACCTGTTCGTTTTCAGGGACTTCAGTGGCGGTTTTAGTGCTGATAAGAGGAGGACGAAGGCAAATAAATGGCAGGTCCATCTGATTTCGTTGGTTTCAGCAGCTATGTATTCACACCTGAGGTTATGTTGCCACGGCGCCGAACGATAACACGACGTGGCGATGTTGAGATGGGCTAGACGGTCTAGACGGGCTGTATACCCGTTACCTACTTTCTTTGTTAGTGTTGTATCAGCATCATACGTCACATAAGGTAGAAAGTCAATTTCCAACTGAATGATTCTTTCTAAGCCAATCACGGAAACCTGATTTGCATCGCGAGGAACCAATTGGTGGGGTATATGGTCAAGAACCTGTGTTCCATGACCACCACGGTGGGTTTAAGGTTCGGTTAGCTATCCGAAAAATGGCCGCCGCGTCAGATGTATCACCCGTCGGTTTCAAAAAATAGTGTGTTAGGAAGCGGTCGAGAAATCTATTTAGTGAGGAGTCTCCGGTCGGATATTGACGTTTCCGGAGCGATAAGGCAGTTATTTTTATAGTAAAATATATTAATTTCAGAACGGCCAGCGTGAAGATAGAACCGGAAAGTTGCTGTTGAAGCCCCTTCCCAATGAGTTGACTGGATAGGAATGGGTTGCTGTGACACAAATATTGTTGAGGTTTGGAGCACAGAGTCTGGTCAACCAATTTATGTACTACTTGAGCCGTGAATCCATTGTGATCCTTGTAGGGTTCCCCGTAAGAGATGTGGCGTACTTGTCTACAAATTTGAGCCGGTATCGGATTGAAGCTTTCCAACGATATTATATCGCTTGCTAAAGAAGGTAAACCAGTCGTCGAGAACCTTCTTTTTGTCTTCAGCAAGATCTTCGTACTCAGGTGTGCAGTCCTCTAGTTTTAAGGACGACGAGGCGAGAGCCCGATTTGGCTCCTTGCCCGCAAAAACTAGTAGAGGGCATCCAAAGTTAGTTTCCTGGGTAGACCGAATTCGAAGAACCATACGAATGCCGCAACGAACCGTGATACTGCTTTCCTGGGGCATATGAATCCTTGCCGGTTACGTCGAAAACAGTTCCCTGAAATGTTGTAAATTTTTGATTCACGCAACCACTAACAGCTTCAGCCGGCTTGAAGGACTCTTTGTGGGTACCTTAATTGCGACTAGAGTGGGATATCCTTCATTGGTCCCTACGGAATACTCGTCAGAATGATATCGTGCAATTATGATGTGGCAAAAGCTCACCGTTGCATTTTGATAAGTATTCAGGTGTGATCTGATCGTCTTTTGGGGGAGCCAGCTGAACCGTTTGTTTTGGTTCAAATTTCTTTGTTTGTTCAGTACCGTCGGACATGGTGATCAATAGGAGAAGGGACTGTGATTGGGGTGATGTGTGTCAATTCTTGCGGGTGAGGTTGATATTAGAGACAGCTGGGTGCGGGGTTGTAGTGGCACCGCCACATCAAGGATGCGCCACACTAAAATCCTTTATCACCTGCCGAGATCTGTCTTCACTCATTATACCCCCGACGTCTTCTTTCCATCAACTAACTCGACGACGAAATTGCGTCACCATCTTACATCCCTTTAGGCAGAAATCTGTTCACAGAGCTAGGAAGATACTCTACCAGTAAGGTTCTATCGGCGCGGCGATGTGTAATGAGGGCCGAAATATCTGTTGTGCAAGCCTAAAATGCAACATCTGCCAGTAATGCTACAAACTCTGCCAGTCCATCCCATTGGCGCATGTATTGTCTCTGCTGGGAGCTTGATTTTAGATGTTCCATGAGAACATTCCTTTGTCATCCTGTCTTACTTGACGTCTATCTCGCAGTTGTCTGTTTTCATTTTCCTTCCGGTAGTCTACATTCAACTAGAGAATAATTTCCCAATTACCAACACGCTGGTCTGTACAATTTTACAGCCTACCACACAACAGGCTGGTGCTAGCATATTACACGGCACGAGTACACTCTACAGGGCGTTGCACCATGAGCGCCACTAACGAATGAACGACTTCGGCTGCAGCAAGCAGGGTTGTCTCGCCAGGATTGTCATAGATTGGAGCGACTTCGACTGCAAGTATGGAGGGTCAGTAACTCCATAGCTCGGAGGTAAGAGCCGTCGAGAGGGGACGCACCAACATCCGCCCCGATGATTTGCATCCCGCTCAGGCCATCTAGGACCGACAGCAACTCACGTGTCGTCCAGCCCCCAACTTCTGCAGTCCCAGTCGCTGTTTAGAACGATTATTAGCCACTTGCCCATTAGGACTACCAAGACATGCGCCGGCTTTAAGACTAAGTTTGCCACGGCTACACTGCAGCTCAGGCTGACCCCACTGACAGGCTGCTTGCCATTCCCAAAAAGGGGTATTATGTTGCCATTTTCTTATGAAGAGGGAGTGGTAGTACTGACCTGGTGCGAACGCTGGGTCGAGGACATCTATATCGACGCTAATGTAGACCTTAGACTGACCCACCCTCCGCTTAAGGCCCTCAATGATGCCTTTCACACCTACACGATCGATCTCTCTCGCCTTTATTATTTCAAATCCGCATCTGAAATCGTTTCTTAGGTCTCCTTTTGGCCGGAGCATAGGGGCTCTAATACCAGCGTGTACCGACGTATTACGAATCAAGCCTTCCTCGTGGGCGATGTGTAAGAATGTGCCGTGATTAACCCCTCTAAATGATGCTCAGCGGCTTTCCAATTTCGGCCTATTATTTAACACTCAACTCACGCATAGTGCGATATGCCACCACCTGGGTTCATGTTAGCCTTCGGATACCATTACTATGAGGCAGACTTTACCCAACACCATTGGATCCCACGTATCTAGTCAGAATTTTGTCAGCTCATATGCATTTAGATTCAAGCCGTGGCCTTACCTAGATGGCTATCGAAATGTATTACGCTAACCTCCCCCCAATGTTGGTAGGTAGACCTCAAAGCAGAAAGAGTTGTGGTATGATCTCCACCCAACATGATGATTCGCGGTGTCGGGAATTCGCTGGAATTCGCTCGACGGCCCGAGATGATCTACCACATCGGCGTTGGCGAATTGTCACCCAGTGATCAAGCGCTACTGTGGATGCAGTACCTCAATCACGCAAGCAATTTACTACTCACCTTGTGGGTCGCATCAAGCTGTTTCAAGGCAACAGTATTGTCCTTGCTATTAGTTTAGCTTCCTCACTCGTTAACCAAAGGTAGAAAGGCTGACGAGGAATGTTAAAGGTGCATCCCCGCAATCAATTACTTTCGCCCAGTCGAGGAACACGTTTTCTCCTAGATTCGGGAAATCCACTGTTAGCATTGACAACTTGGGCATCCATGAGAGTGCACGAGGCGTGAAGAGCCTCGACGATCGAGAGTCACCTTATAACATGCAAATTACCGTCGCATCGACTATCCGATGAAGCCGCTAAGAAGACTCCACGTTAGGAACTTTTGGCTGACCCCAGCTTTGCAACGTTTCCTCGATGAATGGCGAAATTCTCCTGCTTTGTATGGTCCTTTAACAGCATGTACCCACCCTGCACGACGGTGTCTAGCCACGCGCGAAATCTAACCTCACAAAGGTAGGAATAATCTTAACCGAAAGAGTGCCTACCAGTATAAATGTCCCAGGCAGCTTCAGGGGCAATCCTCCGCGATCCCCGGCGGATTCCACTCGGGCCGAAACGGGCTCCTGGTCGGGCTGTGACACCCTACTGAAATGTCAGCTTGAGCTCTTACGATTGCTGAACTAGATTCGAGTTATTTGCACAAATTAGCGAAGGTGATGCTGCGTGTGTCCAATATTCCTCCAGCAGGTATGTACCCTAGTACAGATTCCGAAGACTTTGTAGCGACGACATTTGAATCTCCAGGAAGCAAAACAGCACTTCCTGTCTTCGGTCGCAACTCGAAGGCGCTCGGCTGATTATGACGTTTCGTCGCATTGTTAATTATTGCCCTCGGCCAGCGATATCATCCGCGTAGGCCTGAAGGGCTCCCAATCCCATAATTGTGTCCAGATTCTGTATCTTCCGATTCAGTCCGATGGCCGCCACAGGCGTTACATTGAGTAACACGCTCTCGCCTGGTGGCAACACATCGCGCTTGTACCAAAAGGCCGTGGTACCCGACACCGCAGCTCAGTTTCCTATTTGCCCTGATTCTTGGATACGTCCTTCCTGCAACGTCAAGAACTAGAAATCAAACATACAGTGTCAAATGGAGCTCCAATGATTGCGATATCGTAGCTTTCTACCTCTTGGCCCTCTCCAGCCAAGCAATGTACGTATGGGAGGTTGGCATAGGTCATTAATCCTGCAAATGCGGATCCAGTACTAATGTCTACACCACCCTGGGCAGAAACAAATTGTTGTGAGAAGCTAGATATCAATGGAAAGGTGATCTCACGTGCAGAGGAGGCGTAGGCTAGGAGGGGTAAGAGAAAGGAGAGAGCCATCTTCGAAAAGATCGGCTGCAGGGCGATGATGAGAAGTTGGTGGTCATTCTGAGAATTCGCAGGAACTTATCGGATGTTTATTGTGTCTTGCAAAAACCTTGTTACAGCCAGAATTTCAACCAATAGCTGGAGGTTCTGTGCACCGCTTGTGCTGCCAAGCCCTTGGCGCGCGCACAGGTAAAAAGGATGAACAACAAACTTCAAAGCTAGAAGTAAACTATAATTTAATCTTAAGAAGACGTTACTAAAAATAAAAATAAGAGAAAAAAAATATAGTGTGCTGTAGAGGATTGGTGAGTTGCATAAGTAACTAAGTTATATCTCTTGTTTCAGCATTGCTACCCTTTCACGGCCGTTCTCCTGAAAAATCTGATGGTAACCAGCTTTTTGCAAGGCACAATATTCATTGGTTAGAATCATCGATGATAGCGGGTCACACTAGCGCTAGAAAGGGAAGTTTATGCGGACAACACCCACAGACTTTCATTCACCTGATGCTCAAGGAGCTTTGGAAAACCTCAACGAGTATACCACGGGCAATTGATATTTGTAAATTTCTCTTTTGGCAACCCAATCGACCATTGGTATTGACCACGTTGTTGTTTTTCTCAACAAACGAATAAGAAGCTATGTACATGAAAGCTCTACGCTATTCCGAAGTCCTCGGAACAACCATGCATGCCTTAGCAGGAGAAACGAAGGACGAATTCTCACTGAGTTAAACTTTATCTGGTTGATTGCAGGAGAATCCTATCCTCGAGTCAGTAATGTCCTTTCAGAACCACCAGAACCGCCATGCGGAACCTGACCTTCGCATCATCTCAGTTAATCTTTGCATTTGTATCCCATCAACCCTTCGGCAACATATAACTCTGAGTGTCTCATTCCACAATCTTCAATCATCTTTTCAGATCTGCAGTTGTAGATCGCGCGCCCTACGTGAGGAGCCGAGGGACTGTAACCGGTTCGAGTTTCGACGCCAGGGTGACAACCGTCCGAGATTGCGGCTCCAATGAAGAAGAGGGCAACGCAAAAGGCAGAGAGAATCATTTTCAAGAGATGAAGGGAATCGACCGAAGTCTTCGTGGCGAATGGGTAATCTAGCTGAGAGCCCATAATTTATCAAAAATCACTGCAGTCGTAGGAAGCCTGGACGCGGTGAAGTCATCTTCCGGAACCAGGACACAGAGCCAAATATATCTCTTCCGCACCCCATCCCGTCGCTCCTATCTCTACGCCCAACATTCGACGCCTCGGGCATGTCCCTCGTTCGACCTGTAGAGTTTCACACTCCGTCAGGCCCAAGAATTTGTGCCTCTATTCTTAGGATACCCGACACGTTGTTTTATTCCCTTTCTCCTGGGATCAAGGAACTTTAAACGACCCTAACACTCTATCTCCAGCTTGTTTCGGGTATCGGCTGGCATGGTGTTGCGTTTCGTGGTTCAGACCGTCCAAGGTTCGGATCTGATTCGCTAGTTGGAGAATCGCTAATCCGATTTCGTCCCATGTGTCTCAGAAACGGAATCAGCCACAACACCACAATTCTATCCTTCGATGAGGCACTAGGCATTGTGAGTGGCTATTTCCTGCATGTTCCTCCGATGTCGAGCACGCATAGGGCTACAGGACTATTTGTATTTCTTCGGCAGAAACAGAGGAGGCATCACGTGGGATTTTCTGCCCACTGGGCCGGGTTTATTTGTCACTCACGTTATCTACTGCGACACCTCTTCCCAATTAGGCTTGCTAATTCTCGTACCTCTTTGCTACTGGCTTTGAGGCGTTTCACTTCAGGCCTCAAACTCGCTTGCTCTGCTTGGTCTCATCAGATAACATCATCTTCAGGAAAGAACTCGGACAAAATCGTGCTTTCGGTCACACATCCTAATCCTTCGGCATCGTTCCCCAGCTCAACCAGCTCTAACAATATCCTCAGGAAGACTCAGTAGTCAAAGTCCGCGCTATTTTTACAAGCATGTTAGATCATGCTCGTGGACGGCCATCTGAGGGCCCTTTCGTTCTCCTTAGGCTCTCGAACCTAAGTAAAAGAGCGATTAATTACACACCTATTCTTAAACGCATAACACCTACCTTTGCAATTTCCATCATAAGGTCGTGGCGGGTTCTCCTCCATGTGGTTATGTCCCCATTTTCGCAACATCACAGCATCCCTCCATTCTGAATTCCAAACTACGTCGCCGAGATCGTTCGAAAGAGATCCATATTTTCCTTCAGCTCGCTTCACAACTGTTCATGTTCAAACCAAACAACGGAAACTAAATTGTAAAAAAGAGGCTGCGCATGAATAGGGTGGCTTGTGTGCGTTTTCCAATTCGCTCATTCAATTATAGCGCTTTCTCGTTGGATGATTATCCGTTGCCGTTAAGATCTTTGTTTTTCACAAAGCTCCGAAAATGGGCATGATAAGGTTTCTAATTCATTTTAAGAGGCAGATTCTGGCACACGTTTCGGCCACGTTATTAGCACCGATCCCGCTATTTGAAGAGTCTGCGAAGAGAGATAAAATGGTATGCACACCCTGCTCTTCACAAGCGCTTGTTTTTGGATTCAGCTGTTCTAATTCCTAGTTTTTAGATGCAAATTTTGATCTATCTTTGTATTCCTGTGGCTGCTGTCGGCGATTTCGCTCTTGCTAATCTTGTTCATAAGGCAGTGGCATCTTTTCCATTTCTTGTCCCATCTTCAGATGTGCCTGAGCTATCTGATGCAAGCTTCACCGGCTGAGCATATTGCTCCGTCCGATATCTTTGCTGGTATGAAGCACCACCCCCATTTATCCGCTTTGATCAGAAAGTTTAGGTGCTGGAGGTGAGGCATATTACCTTGCAAAGTCAAAGCCCGACCTTGAAGGATCGTTCCCCCAGGATTCCCGTCCATTCATTAACTTACGTATTGTAGCTTCTTATGCGAAATCGGCATTTAAATAAGTTATGCGCGATTATCACTTACTTTATTACATCAGCGAGTGACATGGGAATAAATACTGAAGTTTGGAGTCCAATATTTTTTTTCAATTCGCGCAATTGTTGTCAACCTCACATTCCAAAATCACGTGATGGAGCAAGGAACACAAATTCACATTTCGCAATCTTTGGAGCCTCTTTGACATATGGCCCATGAGTAACCAAAAGATTTGGAGCTGCCCGCGTTCCCATATCGACGACAAATCTCCGAGAATTAGGGTCCCGTCTACAGGCGCGAAGAAGAGGCATCACCGACTGTACCTTCCAACTCCGCGCCTTATTTGCTTGCTTTTGCTTTTGCAAGGCAAATTGGGTAGCTGAATGTCTAACTTTTCTTTTGGAAAGCTAAATTTGGCCTGGTTGGGTTCACGTAAGAAGCGGGGATTCATTAAAAGACTTGCGCAATCCGTAATCCCTGTACTCTTGTCTTCCAGGCCTCCCCGTTAGGCATTGGTTAACAATACTCTCCCCACTGATGTTTATTTTCGTCCTCGTCGTAGCTGCTCTTGCTAGTAGCATAGCTTTCGCCAAGCCTCTTCCTGTAGCACCTGTATCACTTGAGTCTTCCTTTTCAATAATTTCGCCTTTACCGGATTCTGCCCATTCACTCTTCTTTAGTTGGGAGTACAGTTGGGAGTACAGTAGTGGAACATTTATGCACCTCACACGAGTGATCTCCATAGTAGCAGCTTGATGATGCGTTCTTAAGGAGAAGTTTAACTTGTACAACCAGCTATCCATTTCTCACATAGAGACAGTATGCTGGTTGCGTTAAAGATGCTACCAAAATATTCACTGGCTGCTTTCGAAATACGTTCTATCGGAGACCTACCATTACTGGTATATGGTGAATATGCATCCTTAACCATTCTGACATTTTGAAGGTCTGAGGTTTAAGATTTGATAGTTCATCCGGAGCAACATGGACTATATACGCCAACCTTACAGATGTATTTCCGCTCACGTCTCTTTTTGCCAAGCAACGACCTATTTGGACCACGGAGCAGCTTACCAAAGCGTTCCTGCCGTAGAACAAGCGGGTAGGGGGTAAGACGCCAACGGGCATTAATTGCGACTAACTTGTTTCTCAAGCGTCTTTAATGTCAACTGCGACCTCGACATACTCAACACCAACTACGAGCCCATCAAAGTCGCCGACCGTAGTCTCACCAGGATCCTCCTCATACCGAACGGTCAACGTTGCCATCACATCTCAAGTCATTACTCAGACCTTGGACTCTCCAATGACTTCCTTTCAGTCGAAATTGTGCTTAACATATCTCACCGTTTCAAGTGATGGCATAGCAGCACCTACAACTGGGGCATGTGCTGATACAAGCTCCAAAGTGACGGGAAATCTTGCAACTTATGGATTCAAACCATACATATATATAGTATCGAGCGTTCTTGTTTTCCTCGCTATTATGATGCTCTTTTCTTACTCTAATAGGCGGAGACTGGCAGGACGAGCTGCAATGGTCCCCGTCACTACGCCATCCGAACCATCCGAACCATCCATATCTAGTTACCGAGACCAAACTCTCCTCCAGAAATCTAAGGATACGTTGCAGTATCTACTTCCGACACCATATGTCATGGTAGCTCCTCCTCCGCCATCCGGCCCTGTGACCATTCCGGAAGCTGTAACATAGGAGAATTCTGTTCCAGCCTCCCGTTTAGCGCACTTCCTAAAGAGAGTTCGTCTATCCGACCCTTTATCTACGAAGGATAGTACCATCTGCTAAGAGGTTCGGGGCGTGATCGAATTCATTAACAAGATGACTCTGCACTGCGCATAGAGCAGGGGCGCTTGCCGAGAGTGCTTGGACAAGTGGATCGTAGCAAGGCTTGACAATGGAGATCTTGAAAAATCACATTGTCCGGAAGCCAAGTGTAGCAATGCCTATGAAGTGGGCAAATCAACTAGTTGCGTCTTCTGAAGTACTCGAACAGTATGTTTACGGTGTTGGCAAAACAGTTCTCAAAGTAGCCACTTAGCGACAACGAGAGTTTTCGCGTTGCATCTTCTACTTCGTGGAAAACCTGCTCAAGCGAGTCGAGAGGCGTTTGATACCGGGTTATTGCGCTACTGTGTTTGTGGATAGCAATTATGCGAGAATACTCAGGCAATAAGGGACAATGAAAGGAGTTCTCTAGCACGTGGACTAGTGATGTTTGGAAGCAAATAGATGCCTGAATTGTGGCAAGCGGTTTGCTACTCACCGAACTTTTGAGTGAGTCTTTCTTTCTATATAAAGGACTGTAGTCTCATCGGGAACGCACTCCTGAAATCCTCTCAACCGTTCTTTCATCTCGAATCAATAATGGCCGACAGCGTTCCCTCAGACACCATCACCCTCAACGTCGGCGGCCGCAAATTCCTCACCCGAATAGACACCCTTGCCACAGGATCTGGATTCTTCGCAGCTCAACTATCCCGATGGATTGGCGATCCCCGGGAAGATGGTTCGTTCTTCATCGACGCTGATCCCGATCTCTTCGCTCACTTGCTTCGACATCTCCGCCGTCCGAACACCTTCCCTTTGTTCTGGAATATGGAGAAAGGGTTTGACTATGCGCTTTACCACGCTCTCTATGTAGAAGCGGAGTATTTCGGAATCTATGAGCTTGCTAAGTGGATCGAAGCGAAGCAGTATCTCAAGGCGATCACAATCAAGTCACATGGCCCAGAGATCCATGAAGTTAATGGTGCTCCAGGACAGCCATTCGTTATGAATCCTAATGTAGAAGTCGTCCAGAGGGAAATTTTGGTGACGAAACGAGAGCGGTTTGTTTGTCCCCGAGGAATCTTTGCTCATATGGTTCAACGAGGCGAGCGGCTTAAGTGTGGGAAGGCATGCTGGAAGGTGGGAGGGGACGATCCAGATGAGTACGTGGAAGAGGCGTATAAAGAGGCAGTTACTTGGAAGAATGAAGTGATCTTTAATGCTGATGTTTGTGGTACAAAAGTCGAAACAGAAAAAAGTGCAGAAGGCATGGGTGAAGGGTATTGAAGTAGGTGAGAGAACTAGTATAGGGAGAACAATATAAGAGATTGGATGTAATTGGAATTGAAGGAGAGGATGGGACATCTCGAGATCTGATTTGGACACTATATCGAGAAAGCTTAGGAAGCGTAGGAACACGAGGTCAGGCTAAAATAGATTTTTTTTTTCTCTGTTCACGTATTAGCCCAGACGCGCATGGAAACTCTTGCGTCGACGAGCAATGTTGTTTCAGATTGCCTCTCAAACCAATAAGGTGGAATAAAATGATCGAAGAAGCGAACAAATTCCACTTGTATGACCTAGGAGACTGGGTCCGGGGGGTGCCGGTACGCGGAACCGTCAAGATGCATATGAAGGTAGAACAGAACCGAGCTGGGATCTTTGAAGGTGATGACGATGTGGTTCTTGAAAGCTACAACGGGCCTTTGAAGAGGGAGCTTTCCTCTGCCGTACCGGTGTGCATTTTCAAGCCGAGCATTGTGCGCATGGTTACACCAGGTCGAGAGGGGTGAACTCTCACTAGCTTTAAGAGAGGAAAGGTGAAGCTCGTTAAGTCTACAAAGAAGATTGTGTTCGACCTTCTGAGAAGGGTTGTATCAATGATAGCGCGAAGGTATAGTTGGTGTGGTTCGACATTCTTCGCGCAAGAACTTATTGAAGGAGGCATGGATGGAAAATTCGGCAGAGAGGTATAGAGCAATTTGATTTAATCACTATGTGTACAGTCCGTGGAGATTGTGGTAGTCATTGGAGGGAGCGGTTGGTGGTTCGTGGTATGATCTCATCGCCGATTTCCGATGTCCATGCAGGTACTGCGTTCTAGAGTGGCCCTGCGCGGCCCTGGGGGAAAGAGCCCGTAAAAAAAAAGTATTTTGTACCTGTAAAGATATCATAGACTATATCGTAGTTAGCTAGCGATGTAGAACCCTTCTGTATATCGCGATGTTGTTGATTTAGAGTTGTTCTCTTTTCAGACTGTGCCAGAAACTAACTACCTAGAGCCTCCTCCTGACTCAGCATCATCCCAACCGAATCTTCACGGATGACCCAACCATCACATTCAAGGGATTCGGGGTGTGGAGGGGGGTATTTGGACATTTGCACATCCTGCTAAGGGAAGTATCAGGTATTGGGGAGGTATCTGGTGTTATCTAACTGCGCCCTACATCGCCACCTATGACCACAATTGTCGTGTGCGAAATTCTCTGGATTCTTGGCAATGCCAAGTAACAACTTTCCCCTCACAAATCTCATAGACATGCAGGTCACTGCACATATCGCTCCATATAATCCGCCTCATGGGAGAAGGACGTTGTATAGTAAGTAAGGCTTTTTAATAGGCCCTATCCGCCCTATCTAACTGTTTTTTAGAGTAGTTACTGCTAATTGTACCCTAAATTGCTTACCTCTGTTATTAACATAAACAGATAGCTAGAAACGCTCTTGCTACTTATTAGTTAACTTTTAATAAACAAGGAGGTAACAGTTAGAGTATTATTGCGTTTAAAAAGCGCGCTGCGAGTACTCTAGCACCAGCTCCGCGCGGTAGGAACGCTGCACGCGGTGGGAGGGCTGGTAGAGTTGCGCAAGGTAGCTGTAAGGACGGAGCTCTGTACCACTACGCCAATACAACTAAAAAGGTGCGAATAATCAACTAACAGTTAATTATTGCGTACAGAATAGTATATATACCCGTCGCACGTAAGCACCATCTCGGCCTTACAGTAGCAGGCGTGCTGCGTTAACTCTAGCTCCTCTAAAAGCCTACTTTATCTTACCCTGGTACATCTAGCTGTGCGCGACAAGCTTATTAAACAGATCCTCTCTGTCAGCTAGGGTGAGTCTTAGAGGACGCCCTAACCGCTGCACCTGCGGGGCTGTAATAGTACTATACTTTATAAGGTTCTGATGGATCGCATAGACAGTACTACAGCTAGCACGCGAGCGAGTAATGACCTCTAGGATAGGGACGCTGAGCATAAGGAGATGATACGCGATAGAATGACTATGAGTAGTCTTCTAGCTGTGCTTTAAGTAGGAGGAGGCTAGTAGCAAGGCCTCTAGATTAAGGATGCGCGCTTCTATAAGACGCGTCCCCTAAGGGGCCCGCGAGAGGCCTACAGTTAGATCCATGATCTAAAACTCTGTCAAATTAGTGGGATAGGCCCTATCCATACATTTGAAAAGCTTCACCTACAGTAGAAAGCGTTGTGGTTGATTATATGGAGCGATATGTGCAGTGACCTGCATTTCTATGAGATTTGTGAGGGGAAAGTTGTTACTTGGCATTGCCAAGAATCCAGAGAATTTCGCACACGACAAAAGGGCCATGCACGCACGCAAAATTTGCATCCAGGCGTTCCGAGGTTCCGCTCCCTATATACCACGCACCACCGCACCTAATTCTAGCCTCCACAGCACCATCTAGACAGAGTGGTGATCGTCAGATATGCTGTGCCTTCTGTCCTTACCAATATAGTTGCTATCGGGCAGCATGTTAAGGATATCCTCCTTCTTATCCGTCGGACGCTGGTGGAACCAGAAAAGGATGCCACCAACCGCTGCCAGGATCGCAACAACACCGTAATTCCAGACGAGAAGTGGATCTTCCGACAAGGAGACAAGCGCCTGACCAATGGCGTTGGAAAAAGCGGACATGAAGTGCCAATATGAGGTAACCAGCGACCGCATGTTTTTCGGCGCCTTGGTGAAGGCGAATTCGAGACCGGTAATGGAGGTGAAGATCTCGGAGAAGCCGATAAGAACGTACGGCGCAGTTTGTACCCAGACATTGATGGGGGCTGGGTCGTCGCATTTATTCATGTGCTTTCCGCATGGACCCAGCTTGTAGATGTAGTACTGGATGATAGTTGCGGAGATCATGGCCAGAGAGGCGAGTCCGAAGCCTAAGGCAATGCGCTTGATGGGGGTGAAGCGGATGTTGGCTTTGCGCAGAGCGGGATAGAGGAAGTTGTCGACGATAGGGATGAAGATGACCAAGGAGATGGGGTTGAGGTTGGTGATGACGTCGTTGGGGACACCGTTGCGGGTGAGGGTCGCGGCTTGCGAAGTCAAATTGTTGTTCATCTGGTTGTAGGCGAGCCCTAGGAATGCGTTAGTGGAAAGGTCAATAAAAAGGGTATTAGGTAGGGTCTTACAGTAGAGTGGAATCCAGGTGAAACAAGAGCAGGCACGAAGACCACGAGCGACTTGATCAACCCAGGCATCGTCAAACTGCATCCACTTCGGCTTGCTATCCCCGAGCTTGCTCGGCTTGACATCCTCCCAGAAATGCACGTTCTTGAAATTCTTGCGGGTTTGGACGGGGTTGATGGACCAATTGCCCTTTTGCGCAAGGAACCAAAGCTTGATAGCGCGGATAAGCACGGATCCGGTAGGTGGGCTGCGGTGGTACTTGTGGCGGCAGAACCAGAGGACGAGCGGGCAGCCGCAGAAGAGAATGGTTGGCAGAAGGAACGCACACCAAAAGCCAACGTATTTCTCGACGTACACCATGCCGATCTGGCCGGTAAGTGAGCCGACGTTAATCATCATGTAGAAGTACAAGAAGATTCGGGAAAGAGTAATGTTGGGGTCCGAAATAACGCGCTCGCCAGTCTTTGGGTCCCGAATAACCCTTAGCTTCGTCTGCCTGTACTGCTCGGCGATCAGGGGAGAGATGTTGGCCTTGAAAGCCCCCGTTCCGAAGCCGAGGATGATGACACCGAGAATGAAGGGGGCGATCGCCTTGCCGCTGGCAAGCACTGTTGGTAGAGCAGAGATGACTAAGAGAATGTGGCCAATGATGGAGAAGGCGAGGGCAATGAAGATGGTGTTGAAGCGACCAAGATATTCATCCGCAATGATAGCACCAATGATGGGAGTCGAGTAAGCCCAGAAAGAGTTGAAAGTACCGATACCAAAAGACGCGCGCTGTCCCATACCGAGAGCACCAGGCTGGCCCTCGGCGCTGGGATCCTTTCCAGTCGGGTGGCCTGGTGGTAACGGCTGCTGAACGAAGTTGGTGTCTGATCAAACACATAAGCAATGCTCTCAAACGAGAAAGCGGGAAACATACACAACACTTGGCATCCATAGTAACCAAACCGCTCGCACATCTCGACGATGGCAATAGTGTATGCAGTCCACGGGATCTTGCCCGAAATACGGGGAAGCGTGCGCAGGTCTTCCTCGGTAGGCTCCTCACCCTCTAAGTCGGCTTCGAACTCGACTGGAGCCGGGGGTCCGGCGAGACTGCTGCTCCTACGATCGGCTGCGGCCAGCGCTTCCTTCTCGCTGGCTTCGAACATGGTGGCGCTGATCGCGGGCTCATTGCTCATGGCCATGTCTGGCACATTTTGGGCGGCGGCTCCAGCCATGCTGGTGTGCTTGTGTCGAGGTTGACTGCGGGTGTAATGGTGTTGCACAGAAAGTGGGCAGTCAATAGCGGGGTAGGAGGTATATAAATAAATAAATTGAGGGAGTGGAGGGGGAGGTCACAGGGAAGCACGCTGATCCCATCACAGCGAGAGGTCTGGTGAATTATACTTTCCCCGGCGAAAGGCACAGCAGCAAAGCGAGGGAAGCTCGTGATTCGTGAACTGCAGCTGTTTCAAGCAGGTGAGTATGATTGTGAGGTTGCAATCAGCCTAGCTATTGATCAAGCCTGTGAGGGACACGGGAGCAGTCTTGGACCTGCTATGTTATCGACTGCCGCGACCTCTTGAGAGGAGCTAAGGATGGGAAGAATTGCTGCCAAGTCTATCGACATTGCTTCAAGACTCGGCGCATGAAGATCACAGGGGTCTCCCAGCCACTCATGCGAGGTAGAATTCTTATCTGAACGTTCACAGGCAGCATTGTTACCCGGCTGTTTGTGAGTTCGCATCGCGCTGTGGGCTGTTCGAGGGGTAGTAGGATGCGAAAAATAAACTTCCTACCATTTCAAGAAAGCCCAAATCGCTCCCTCCCTGCGCTAATGACCAAAGCCATCATTGACAAACTGGTGAGATCCACCAGGTGGTGCAATTCACATTTCCTCCGCCTTGGCAAAGCGGAATCCCTTGGCACCAAGTGCCTCTCGGCTCCTCCAAAAACGGTGCCAAGCCAGCCACTGGGTTGAAACGCTAGGCTCATAAAGGCAGGTTGACAAGCACGGCAAATCAGCTGAATTTGGCCAATAGATCGCTAGCTCGAGACTCGATCAGGACAAGGGTTAAACGGGCGCGACCCGCCTTGCTTTTCGAAACACGGTGCGCATCAACGCCCATGCTTATCTCCTCACTCTTTGGGATACACCACCGAAACCAAGGCGTCGTGGCAACTTGGGCTTCGTCTTGGAGCGGGAGTGGCATTTGCGCCGTTGATGGCAACATCAACTTCTTGTGAGATGGGAATTTGCAGCCAAGGCCGCGAGTATGCGAGATTGGTCAGCCAATGGTAGTGAGAGCATTCACCTCTTTATTGAATGGTGGAATTTCATGACATGGGTGGATGTGTTGGAGTTGGAGTTGGAGTTGGCTGCTGTGCTCAGCACCCACACCACCGCTCTGTTACCCCGAACGAGTTGGCGTAAAGGTGGCGATATTGCTTATCAGCTTGGCCCTGCTGCAAGAGAAATTTTCTGGAAGGTGTTCTTGCTGGGTCTGACCATACTCATGCTTTTCCAAGGTTGCTCTCCCCATGCCCGTCCATTGATGGTGGGCCTCAAGAACACTATTTCGGCTCCGACCGAGTTTTCCAGAAACCTGGTCTGGTCTTTGAGCGGTGGGCTCTCGGGTGGAGCTATCCTAGAGCTTCGTGCAGATTTTTCTTCCTTCCAGGCACCGGGTTACAGGGTTGGGTATTTGGAACCACGTTTTCGCTGTCGAGGACGAGGGTGCTTAAGCGAATGCTTCAAGGAGAGAGACTGGCGAGGGTTTATATCTGATTGCTAAGAAATAATAAGCCTACTTAGCTTCCTATGTTAATACCGGTGGGGTTCGAAACGCAATGCAGGTTATATGGGAGCAGTTCTTCATAGTACCTCAACGCGGCGGTGCAAGCAAGAAACCTTAGCAGATTGATCTTCTCAAGATACTAGCCGGACTAGAAGTCGTCTATCTGACAGGAAAGCTGAGATTATGATTATGCGTTCCTAGTAGATCGGTAACTCTATATCTCTGTTTTTGTAAAATATCATACAGGATTTTCTGGCCTCAAAGCCTTTAATATCGATCTCTTGAACTCATTTGTCAACCGGAATGTCGTCTAAGGGTCCTCCAACACCAGACCAGTAATTAATCCAGTTGAAGATCTCCGTGTGCCAAAACAGAGAGTTCTCTGGGTCGAGAACCCAATGATTCTCATCCGGGAAGTTGAGGAACCGCGAGGGCACCCCGATTCCTTGGAGAATGTTAAACAGCGCGAGGCCGTCGCTTTCAGGAAGTCGAAAGTCCATACTATTGTGCACAACGAAGTGCGGTGTGCTATAATTCGCGATGTGGTCGAGCGGGTTGAACTTCTCATAGTTCTCGCGAGCATCCCAAATCGTGCCGTTGTTGTCATGCCGGATAAACCACAGTTCCTCGGATGCATAGTCCGCAAGCGTGTTGGAGACACCATCGTGAGTTACCAGTGCCTTGAACTTTCGTCCTAAATCGTGGCCTTGGATCCAGTTCGTCATGAACCCGCCATAACTAGCGCCAGCCTCGATTCCGTTCTCAGTATCAATATACGAGAGGTTTGAGTGGATATAGTCCCAACACAATACAATGTCTTCGTATGGGTAGCTGCCCCAATTGCCCTGGATGGCATCTATGAGCTCCTGTCCGAATCCTGTGCTGCCGGTTGGGTTTGGAGCCACAACGACATATCCTTGATCAGCCCAGACCTGGAAGTTCCACCGAGTGCTCCAAGAATTTGCATTGGATCCCTGAGGACCTCCGTGGATAATGTAAGCGAGCGGGTAGGTCTTATTGGCAACAAAACTGGATGGTTTGACGATCAAGGCGTGTAGTTGAACGTCTTGTGAGCCAGTGAAAAAGAACTCCTCAAAGAGTTCAGGACCAAGGCCAGCCAATTCGGGATCAACTTTAAGAGCTGAGAAGAGCATCTTGGGCGCTCCGTCGCCTGTGGTGATGTAAAAGTCTCGCGATGTCCAGACAGCTGCTGCAGATACCAGCAGAGAGGAATCTGGCAAAACGTAGAACGCGGATACTGTAGTGACGCCAGTCAAGTTCTGCGGTGTGAAACTATCTGACACAGTCAACGGGATGTTGAAAATTCTTTCCCGAGCATAATCCTCCGCTGAGACAAATATAGATTTGCTATCTGGAGCCCAATGAATGCTGTCAGGCCACCTGTCCCAGTTGGATGCAAGGCCTTTCCAGTTACTGGTAGTCACTTCGCTACCCTTAAGACCAACATCAAGGGCGTAGAGCTTAAATCTGTCGGATTCATAGTAAATGCCATCTTGTTGAATGTAAGCGAGTTTTGATGAATCCGGAGAGAAAGTAGGGGCTCCTGAAGCTCCTTCATGACCAGCATTGTTGGCCGTGGTGTTTGGTCCATTGAAAGCCACTGGTACTGATGATCCGTCGAAAGGTCCGAGATAAATGTAGCTCGCGGTGAAGTTGGCTTTGTTTAGGTGCGTAGCTTTACTGAGGAGCGCAATGATCTTACCGTCAGGGGATATGTCATAATCGCCACTCCCTCCAAACGGCTGCACAGGAGTCTCTGGTTGGGTAGCCGTAAAGTTGATGCCTCGCAAGAGATTGCGCATACCAGAACCGGACAGAGCAAACGATGAGTTTGCAGAAAGAGTACCAGCGAAAACAGCATATCGCTCTTTGGTAAGCCAAGTATCCCAATGGCGCGGGTAAATGTCTGAGTAGAGCCTCCCCGTGTTCCTTGGTGTGGGCGCAAGCTCCGCATTGTATGCTGTACCGTTAGGGTAGGCCAGGGAATTGACCAGAAAATGTAGGTCACCAGAGGAAGTATTCGCGACCTTGAGACCTGAGAATGGTGCGTCCAATGAAGCCACTAAAGTGCTATTTGAAGTCAGCATGCTTCGTTGCACAAAGACAGCTGTTATCATCTGAAGTTCCCTGAGCCCAATTGTTCGGTACTGTGCAACGCGATGAAACAAGGTGTACCTTTCGGATGGATTCAACGCGTCCCCAATCCAAAGGGAGACACCACCAGGAGTCTCCTCATTGGTCGCATTGATGTATATGATGCCCGTTTCGCTACCCGGTATCCACATAATCTCATTTACCTCACTGGAGTTTAACGCGAAATGGGTGATATTTCCAGACTCAAGGTCTAGTAACTTATATGCGCTTGAAGAAGATTGCTCATCAAACGAATATTGCGAGACTGAGAAGAATGCAATTGTTCCAGCTGGGTTCGGAACGGCTTCAGATCGCCGGGGTGCACTCAACATCTGCCTACACTCGCGTTAGTAAAGGGAATCAAATATAATCTTGGAAGCTCTGAGCCTACTCTGGGGTAATAGCGAGAGCTCCTGTTGCGACCAATGCCGCCGCAACACCCAAGTATCGCGCCATCTTCGCCACTATTTGATCGAGGCTTCAACGGGACCTAGAATTAGAACTCAGCGCAAGCTACACAAATAGATGAACTGACAGCATAAGAGACAATATCAACACCACCAAGCAATTTCGTGTTAGTGGGGTATTTGTACCCCATCTCTGCAAAGGATGAGCACCGAGTTCGAGTCATCCATAGCACCATCGCACTAACGCTCCCCGGTCATCCTGACTATCGCCATTTTCGTGATGACAGAGGCGATCCAAATCTCCTTCCTCATGGGGCTTAACAACATGCGACAAATCCTTGGTGCTTGGGGCCAGAAATCATGATGTGAGCTGCCGTATCACCAGCTTTCCGACGCGATGGATCCCTCAATTTAGCCTTCTTGGCAAAGAGGGACATTATTACATCACGTGCTTATCAAGCTTCCGCCCAGCACCATGACGCATTTGCCAAGTCCACGAACTCTCGAGGACAAGAAGGCAGCTCAACGTTTGCACAGGCAGCGCAGAATGCCAATAGTTCCTGGAGTATGTGAAATATTGGCCACTCGGATCCGTTTCCATCCTTAACTTTTTGTCCTCGAACGGCGTTGAGGATTCGACTTCCCAGACACCGATTTGTGCTCTTACCAGGTTCCCCTCATTACCCCATGTCTGCAAAACGTGCAAGTATTGCACGTTTTCAGACTCAGGTACGAAGTTGAAACATTATCCTGATTCGATAGCTACCTTTGTAAGCAGAGACGACGAAGAATCGCAAGTCGCCCACGTCATTTGCATGGGTGTATACGAAACTGTAAAATATTGCCTCGAATTCGGAAGGCCCTCCCACCCCATTCAACCAAACTCCTCCCAGTCTTCCCTGGCGTACCACTGTCATTTCCAAAACTGTAGAAAAGAATAACTGAAACATAGACAGAAAAGGCAGGGGTGTGGCCGATAACGACTGGTCAAGTACAACATTGGTTCTCAAAGACAAGCAGATCACCCCCTTGATCCAATGAGCAAAAACAACGAGGGGTGTACTCAAAGACGAACTAAAGGACTGTTTGATTTTAAAGATCTTCGTCTTTAGAATATTACCCTCTCTGTACTTACTGTCCGGTTGTTTACTCTCTTAAACGTACCCTCCCAACCAAAGAGGACTGTTCGCCGTGTACGGGTACCGTGAATTATGCCGACGGTAATTGTGTGACATAAGCTCCCACTAAACGAACGATAGCACATTTACGTCCTGGTCAGAAAGGCGAATGGATTAGGCTCTTGTTATCCAGCCCCATCGATCGACCGCTTTGTCTTTTTTCAAAGGTCTCGTTCCTGTCATTGTTAGTATTACTCTCCTCGAACTTCCTCTAGGTGTTGTATACTCTAGCTATCTCAGTACCGTGCTTCTTGGTATATGCGACGATACTGTAAAGCTAAAGTTCTTCTGCTTGCCTTGTTGAGACGAGGAGACGCTGTCGAGTTGTCTCAAGCAGAGCCAATACTAGTCCGAGGCCCTTAATGGGAGCGTCTATTCGTAACTGGTTCGCCCTTTAGAAAGTATTCAGTGTATTAAGAATACTAGCTTTAATTCTAGGGACAGTGTTCTTCTCACGCTTCTATTATTAATCGCTAACCAGACTTGGGTTGTGTTTAGAGGCGCAACGTCCCGAGCGGCTACGTGGATCCACAAGCCGATAAGGGAACGCACTTGGGGATCTCTTGCCATCAGCGCATTGATAGCTCTCAGCTAATTCTCTGTGAGTGCCTACAGATCCTTCTTAGTAAACTTTTCTTGGAGGACTCTGTAAATCCAAGGTTGCATGGATTTCGCACCACAACCTCACGGCTATAAATTGCAACAATCCCGGAGGATGCAGTCGAGATGATCCACAGGTACTCTAGAGAGTCACTGGCAGGTTTCTTATTGAGCATGGTTTCTTCGATACTATTGCCCGCCCCGGCCTGCGTGGATTCACGGTCGATGCTACCAGCTAGCCTGGATGTGTAATTTATTTAAGCTTCTGAGAGGTCTTGCCCTGATATTTCCGTGTGGAGGACGGTTATCTGTAGCTGCATCACCGATGGGCATGATGTGGCCTTCTTTGTAAGTGACGAGTCTCGCTGGTCGTTGTAGTTGCTTTTTATCAAATTCCTCTTCTTAGGCGGGATTTTCGGTATGACTAATATCAAATGAAATGGTGGTTGTAAGGGGATGGGAATGGAGGTTCCACGTTGATTAATGAGATAAGGTTAAGTATCAGATACACTTTCCATACTTGCGACTATGTTGCATGGTGCCTTAGCCGAGGAGTGTTAGCGGCATTATGATGCTACGTACAAAGTTCAGGGGTCTTTCGGGGTTCAGTACTTGATATGAGACAGAATAAAATCTGCTCTGTTCGTTTCCAAAACCAAACAATAGGCAGAGCAGATTGGATAACCTTTTTAATATTTGAGAATGTTCTAAAAAGCCAATTTTCATATTAAATTTGAGGAATGAAAAGAAGCCATCCGCCCCCAGGAAGCAACATTCACCTTTGGCCAATTCCAATCTAATGGAATGTTCTCAACCCCTCTTCGATAAAGACTCCTAGTCCACCACATCCGAGAATAACCCACAGCCACTTATTTCTTATCTCCCGAGCCGCTGGCCAGAAAGAATTCTTCTCGCTGCGGAACTTCTCTAGCTCCGCAAATTTATCTGGGGCGGACATGGAATAACGCCTAGTTTGACCCCTTTCGTTTTCCTTATCCCCACCATAGTACCGAAGGAAGAGGTAGTTGGCAAGGGGGCCGAGGAGTTCGATAGGTGCAAGCATATCCGAGCCGTACAAGAGAACGATGAACGACAAGTGAACGAAAGCATCACCAAGATAGCTGGAGAAAGATCACAATCAGCGAGCGAAGAAGGAGGAAAATACTGATGAACTTACTTTGGATGGCGGACAATGCTCCAAACACCCTCCTTCAACATCCCTGACTTCCCTTCAGCCTTGAATTGATCAAGCTGATAGTCCGCCAATGTCTCAAGCGCGATGCCAGCGGAGAACATTCCCACCGCAATTATCTGGATGATTGGATGGTAGCCCATCAGCACTGCTCCCTCGTGTCGGAATGGCGCTGTGAAAGGCAAGCTAATCAGCATCTGGAAGAACGCCTCGGGAATGAAGGTCGTGAAGAGCGACTTGGTCCAGAAATTTTCCTCTTGCTTAACCTCATCGTATCGTGGGTCGTCCTTGCCCCGCTTTAGCGACTGGGAGGAGATACGATAGAAGAGCCGTCCACCCCAGAGAGTGACGCCAGTCAGCAGGAGACGTTCATGCCAGGAGAGACGATGGAGAGCTTGGGAAAGGGTAAATCCTTGGTACATCCGACGGCCAACAGCAGACCACCAGGCATTGACAACCTGGCCAGAGGGCCACAGCCAGTCCTTGGCTTCAACGCGGCCTGTATAACGAGCAGCAGCCCATGCAAGGACTGCAAGACTCGAGTGCAGGCCTAAGGATGGGGCTAGAGTATCTCTGAAGATCCCAACATCGAACAATGAGGCTGAGTTGACATGCCTCTTCGAATGGAAAGTATCAATTTTCTCCGTTCCAGAGGCAGGTCTAGTACCATTTGAGCCCAAATAGAAGTTGTTGGGTTCACGGTCTGCGATTTGGATCTGGACATCAGGCAGCCTCGAGGGCGCGTTGTCTGATCTTCCGAACCACCCCGAAGCCATGTTGAGGAAGAGAAGAGCTACAAGTGGAGCAGCTCTCGCCCACGAGGTTGCTTCATCTTTAAAGCTTCCCCCGCAATATGAATGATGTAATGCATGGTGATCTGATCGCGGCCCCACTTACCCCGTATTCTTGTTGACCCGGCTAATCCTGCTGAAATGCTGACTCACGAACGGTAGTTTTTATTCCGGCCATTCAGCACTTGTCCCTTATATATATTGGATTCAAAGCCTATTCGAAGGCAATTACTGCCCCTCGGCTAGCTTCAACATTTATTCCTGTTGATGTTGAGACTATGAGGAACTAGGATGACGTCATTCATATGTGGTCAAAGCCTCCTTTCAACCAAGTGCGGCCACGAACCCACAACTGACACTGCAAGGTAACGTCCCCTGCAAAACAGATCGCCTCGTGCGCCAGAATAAGCCTAACATACTCTAACTTTCGAGCACGCAAAGTCCGCCGACGTGTTGAATCTCCCAAAACGTCATGTTCAACGCGCTCCATAGTGATTGGTTAATATAAGATCTATCCTACCTTAAATTACACATTGGTAGTTGTCTTGTCACTCCATTCGTACTGTGTACTACGATGCATCGAACAAAACCTCTTGAAGATAGCATCACCACCTCACCTAATCGCTACTCGGAGCTAACCCTCCCCCGCTATTCAGAACATACAATACTCGATATAATGTTTAACCTGTAGCCAACTATATACGTAGTGTAGGAAGCTAATCCGCTTTGCACGTCGGACCGCTGACAAAAACTTTAAATGCTCTCTGTAATTCGTAGCTAGGTTCCTATATTACAGCGGAATAAGAGCTCTGCAAGTTAGAACGTTCTTCGGACGGGGCCGAGGTTCTGACGCTTGGCAGTCTAATCCCCGGCAAGAATAGGTTTGCCCTACTACCGGTATGTTGAATGGTTCTCAGTTACGTGTGGAAATGGTGCGTGCATCCACAAACTTTTGACAAACCTTTGACAAATACGAGAGTTTTGAGCGTGATCATAGCAAAGTAACCGACATACTGTGGTGCGATTTTCAGGTTTACGAAAATCTGCTTATCCTATACTACGATAAGGCCAGAGATGGCTTCCCGAGCAAGCGCGTTATTATTACAGAGGACTCTGCTCCTGGCCATTGATGGGCCAGGCGCCTTACCGAAGAGCTTGACGCTGAGGGTGTAGAGATGATAGATTGATCAGTAAAATCACATTATTTACATCCTATAGATGGTCTGCCCCTAAGAATATATTCAAATTTCCCAAAAAATCAACGTCTGTTTGGCTGAGCGCAACTACCAAACAGCCATCTTAGCCCCGAATTGGTGTCCCCCCACGTGACTGAAACCCTTAGACATGCTGGGTGGGCTGGGAGAGAGAAGAAGCTTGTCGAAGACCACCTCTCTACGCTAACGAGCGTAAGTAACCTGGGTGGTGTGCTGCAGTACCTGGGGAAGTACAAGGAGGCAGAGGAGATGGACCGGCGGGCGCTGGCAGGGAGAGAAGAGACTTGGCGAGCACCACCCTTCTACGCTAATGAGTGTAAGCAGCCTGGTTGTGGTGCTGCAGTACGAAGCGAAGTACGAGGAGGTAGAGGAGATGAGCCGGCGGGCGCTGGGAGGGAGAGAGAAGAAACTTGGTGAGGACCACCCCTCTACGCTGACGAGCTTAAACAACCTGGCAGTGGTGCTGCAAGACCAAGGGAAGTACGAGGAAGTAGAGGAGATGAACCGGCGGATGCTGATAGGGAGAGAGAGGAAGCCTGTTGAGGGCCATCCTGACGCGCCGAGGAGTGTAAGCAACCTGGCGCTGGTTCTGCAAGACCAAGGGAAGTACGAGGAGGCAGAGAAGATGAACCGGCTGGCGCTGGCAGGGAAAGAGAAGACACTTCGCGAGGACCATCCCGACAGGGTGACGAGCGTAAGCAACTTGGCGCTGGCAGGGAGACAGAAGATGCTTGGCGAGGACCACCCCGACACCCTGGAAAGTCTATACTATCTTGCACATCTCCTGGACATACTTAAGCAGTATGAGGAGGCGACAAGCTTATACGAGAGATCATGCGCTAGAATTGACTAGGCGCATCTCATCCAATTACTATAGTAAGTCACCAGCATTATTCTACAATGCTCTCGGCGATATTAGCAGATTAAGTTTCTACTGGACGAGCAACGACTACAGAATAAGATTCGAAAGAAGATAGTAATAGCCAGATAACCGGTAAAGAATCAGAAAATCGTAGAATGGTGCAACTATCACAGAAGTTTTCTAGATTTGGCATCGGAATATTAAAGAAACGCCGCAAGTAACTCAAACCATACGACCTGATACTGTCCCGGTGCCAAGCCTATAAACTGCAGTGTACTCTGTCAAGATAACCTCTTATCTTCTGTATAATCTTACGAAGACATTAAATTAGACACTAAATTTGCAGAATAAGTGAAGCTTCGATGGGAAGGAAATGCAGAACTTACAATTAAATATAGTCTGAAGAAATTATGAAGTCTTTTTGTATATGCTACGCATTTCCCAACAGATGTAGTATGAAGCTGCGATGTCGGTTGGCCAGTAGCTCTTTCCTACACTTTGGCAATTCGCGTTGCCGAGGAGAGCTTAAATTTGCCATTTGACGCAAAACTCGATAACAGGGGAAAAGAAGCTTAGTAGATAGGTTCACCTACGGTATGATTATCATGTAATAGTATTATAATACCGAGGCTGGTAATTATCATTATCGGAAGTGTTTAAGGGTTTTTACCAAGCAGTACCGATCTATAGGGGGGATTTGTCTCCTACATAGTGTACATGGTTGGTAATGATTTTCTAATGATTTCCTAATATCACTGCAGAATTTTATAGGCTGGATTAGCCTTAAAATGAATTTAAAAGTAAGAAGATAATGCTAGTATTGTGGAAGTTTGTAGAACCAAGGCGCACTGTGCAGGAATCTAGCAGAAGGACAACTATTGTGAAGCTTTTGGGAGAGCCAAAGTGATGAGGAACTAATTTGATTGGTAAAGGAGTGTATCTGAGGGCATATTTATGCAAAAGAGTGAGCTAGGAAGCATGGTGCTAAAGTAGGCAGCAGTAGTGGATGAATGCGAGTAGGTGGTGCAGCTCGGAGGACTTCATAACTGTAGACAACTATTTTAGAGTATGTTTTTAGTGCCAATGTCTCATATATTAAGGCCGTCCTCTAGACTACGTTGATTAGAGAAGTATAAAATAAGATACCTCACTTTGTCACCTTGAATCCGCGGTGAAGCAACACCGTCATCTCCATAGCTCTAGCGGTGGAGAAACCGCTTGTTCGAGCAGCTGTTTGCTAACCTTCACATCACCACATCAACACCGCTATTTCGTCACCCACGTCAGTGTTTTTTTCGTCCCTCTCCCCTCTCTTTTTTCCCTCTCCCATCTCTTTTTTCCCTCTCCCACCAACAAACCCGCAAAATGTATGCACCAGAATACTCCATCTCACCGCAACGCAAGCGGGCTTCGACCGCAAAGTCGGAGAAAATGAGCGTGGAGCTTAAACACGCCCTCAAATGTCTTGGCTATCGCGATCTCGACCAACTACAGCACATGTTCCTGGCCAAAGAATCATTCCTCGTGCCATGGGCCTTCTTTCGCGATACCTTTCTCTTTCGCCAGGAGGCCGGCATGCCACGAGCTTCGCTTCCAGGCAGTGTCACTCGAGAGGACATCTTATGGTGGTATACGCGGTACGATGACGGAATTTTACGGTACGATCCTAATGATTCTGATGACAAGTCTGCCCTTGATGATAAGACCGCGTCCAGGATCGATGATATCGATACATCGGCTTGGAGTGTTATTGAGCATGAGAAACACCTCTTTGTCTGGCTACTTCAGGCCTTCAAGGTCGGCAAGGCGAAGAATCCTTATGGTATCACGTACTTCGAATGCCGCAACGTTTGTGCTGCCTGGGAAGAAGTGCTTCTGCCTATTGTCAATGATGTTAGGGAAGGTCATGATATCCGCGGCCGTCGGCACTATGGGGAACTCGCTGCCTTCGTCGATAAGGTTTCTCCTAGTGCACTTGCATTCCCTGAGAAGAACGTTGGTGTTCGTCGTCGAGACATAGGGAAAGACCGATCTCACCGGGTTGGGATGTTAGCCCGAAAGAAACAGCTTGACGAAGATGACATGGAGTTGCGGCACACATACCCGCAGTTCGGGCAAGTCGCTGAAAAGCAAAAGGTCGATCTGAAGGCTTGGATCCGAGACAAGAAGACTGTTGCTGATCGAAAGATGGCAATGAAGTTTCTCGAAGGCAGTCCCTGTCCGCCGAAAAAGCTAGCTGAGTGCGCATCCTCCTGGATCAAGTCCCTCTCATTTAGTAGTCTTCGACATCAATCTAATGATAGCAGCCACAGTACGCCTAGCAAGAAGGGCAAGGAGGTCTTCGGCAGCACGCGTCCTACACCGGAAAACTCACCGCTTTCGAAAAAGAATGAGTCACCGTATGGTTCCCAGCGCGGCAAGACACCGCTAAATCAAATGGGTCGCGGCAATAGGACGCCGTCTACAGAATTGGTTGGAGTCATTCAACGGAAACCATCACAACATGAGGCTGACGGTTTGTACAAAGCAATCAGGACCTCGAATCCATTTGCTAACGATATACCCAAAGAAGTGGTCGAGTACACTGTGCCTGCGTCTGATGGTATGGCCCTCGCTCTCAATGTCAAGCAAATCGCGTCATCTGGGTTGAACGGTTCGTTTCCTGATTTGATCTTTACGAGTCATCCCTTTGCACCCGTACAGTTCTCTGACTGTGTGACTTCAGGATCGATGCCATACAACCCCAACAAGCGCGATGTCTCCAAAGAGTCGAAGGCGGACGTGAAGGAAGGCGGAGGCTCTAGGGTCTATGGAGGTATTCCTGTTGGCTTTCTGGAGGGTATATATGCTGGAACCATCTTAGTTGATCTATCCTTAACTAATGACCTGATACAAGGACCTGACCCATTCTTTGAAAATAAGCATACTAGGTCCAACGAATCGGTCGCGGCCCGTCGCGCTGGGAAGATGCCAGCCACCCGTATCCCGAGCCCGGTGAACGTTGGCCCCGCTGGTCCTCCTAAATACCACCCAACACGACCCCGAAGCCCTCCACCATACGCTGTTGAGGAAGACGATCAAATACCACCAATTCCACCCAAGAATCCCCACCGATATGCGGCTAGCAACGTAAAGCCTACTACAGTTCGCATCGTGTCAAAGGACAATATCCGAGCTGCTCTCTCTACGCACTCCTCTCAGGAATCCCTTGCTGAAGTTGCGCAGAGCAATAGGAACGTCTCGGCTAGTAGTGAAGCAAGTTGCCGATCTAACCCGTTCGCTGTGATCGGCGGCAGGGGTTTCAATACGGGCGAGTATTCGATACATTCGTACAATAGCCACATGTTCCACCGTGACCGTATCCAGGAGGGTAGGGGTCACTAGCAAAGCATGAAGAACCCAGAGGGGAAGATGCAGGGAGGCAGCCCGTATGAGATGCAAGAATTCTAGGAAACCGGTTTTTGGGGATTATGTAAGGCAGCTACCAAGAGAGGTTTGAATGAATTGGTGTGGCTTCGAGTCGTTGGAACTTGGAAGAACTGATTTTGTACAATAAGACAGGCGTGATTCTGAGTTGCATGTCATGCACTGCACCCTACTGCACTTCACTGCCAATCAGATTCCCAACACAAGTAGAATTAATATTGATTTTCAGCTTCCCATCTGGATACGAGTCGGAATGAAATATGCCCGTCATAGCGTAATACGTGCAACCACGAGTGCAAAATACGATGCTAGACCAACCGATGTTCGGCACTACTTCAACTTTGGATCGTTCTGACATAGGTCGGCGCACTGTCTTGCACTGCAGTTGTTGTGAATTAGCATTTTAATGCGAATTGCGCAATAGGGCACTTACCAGAGTTTGACATCATCCGGGTCAGGGCGATAAAGACATAGCTGGGCAAAGCATTCGTCAACGCAGTTACGTTTGTGAAGGGAACCGGCTGGTAAACGAAGGCCTAGCACCGGGAAACCAGATGCCAGCACAATGAGGGGGAGATAATAGAGGACTTGGGGTCTCATCGTGTTGGCTCTCTTGTTGGAATAGCGACGAGAATGAATTTAGTTTGGATAGTTATCGAGACTTAGGTGTGTGCCATCATGAGGGCGACCGGTGGTGGCTTTATATGTCGCATCGGCAGCGTATTTAAAATCCCGGTGGAATGGGTCCGAGTACGGGGCAATAATTACTACCTTTGTTCCAACTACTCAGCTGTGTGTGTGCCAACCTATAAGAAGGAACCTCGGTTGGGTGCTGGACAAGAGAATACAACTAAAGGGTGAGCAGGCTATGAGTATTGAGGAAGAAATCGTGGGTATGATGTTCTACACCGAGACGTCATGAAAACTTGCACACTAGATAATATAAAGAGATGGCTAGAGAAGCTCCTTGACAAACGCCGTACAAATGGAAAGCAATGACTTTAAAGAAATATATTCTGAATTTTTTTGCCTTTCGCTACGTGTTCTAGATGGGACTTTGAAGAATATGTAGTGTTTCGATGTTCATCTTACGAGCGAGTGCTATTTGCCCTCTAGTGAAGAGATAGTCTGAATCTAATCGTTAGGGTATATTTCTTAGAGATGTTGAAGATACCCAAGCAAGCCACTATGATCGTCCCACGAACTTCGTCCACTATCATAAAGGGTAATCTTGGTAGCCTGAATTTGACCGGTATTTCTGAGAACTAAAGACACCTGCCCAGGGCAGCTGCACCGGAGATTCGAAGTTATCGGAAGATACCATGACAGTTATGTTCGTTGGGGCGAGATCCGTAGTTAAAGTTGATGGCCGAGTCTCGAAGATCGAGTTACATTGCGCGTAGTCACGGAGCCTTAAATTAAGCTAATTATAAGCAGTTTCTTAAGACCAAAGTCTACTCGGTGGTTTGCTACTAGCGATATCCATTGGGTCCACACAGTTTCTAAAGCATCTTTAAACTACAATGCACATATTACATGACAGGAGACAGAGAGATCAGCTTAGGTCTCTTCGGAAGCGAGTGAGAGGCTAGCACAAAGGTGCATGATATCAGTCGTGCAAACGTCATGAGGGTGTTTCGGCACATACGTCTTTTTCCCCAGAAATAATGGCTTTGTGCAGTAGTCAACTCAGCGGCTGATATGAATGCTACTGGTCTTCTTTCGGCTTAGCGTGAACCATCGCACCTTTCAAAGCCGAGGCTGACCCTTCCTCAACTCTACTCCACTACCCGTACCTTTTCTCGCTTCGCCCCATTAGTATCTCAGGGAACACGGCACCCTCTCCGCACACTAACAACATCAGAGATCATCATATCGTCTCGCTACGTGTATTTAGCCTGAATCAGCGGCTTTAGACGAACACACTGTTGTGGATCCCTCAATGGTATCACCGCAATTGCTTTCATTTATTCCTCCAATTAAGGCAAAAGATCTTTCAACTCTACAAATAAACATGTTGGAACCGGTATTTGGTACATCTGTACCTGACAGGTCAATCTTTTTCTGGAATACTCAGCGCCATGCGCAACCTGATCATTTTGCTGGTTGTCGGCTTAGCTGCTGCGGAAGACGGCGCGAGCGCGTGGCTGCGGTACGCGCCCGTCCCGCAAGCCAGCAATTATCGCTCCCTCCCATTATCAATTGTCGCATTGAATACAACGACATCCAGTCCGGTTCACATTGCAGGGAAGGAATTGCAGGAAGGGATCAAAGGTATCCTCGGAAAGGAACTCAGCATCGCTGATGGGACGAAAAGAGGATCATCGTCAATTGTCGTGGGTACCATTGATGCTTACAAAAAGACCTTCGGTGATTTTGAAGAAGCCGATGACCTTGAAGAAGATGGCTTTTTTCTCAGCACCGTGGGACAAAATGTTCGAATTATTGGACAAAACCAACGTGGCGCGCTCTACGGTGCATTCGAGTACTTGTCACGGCTCGCACAAGGCAAATTCTCTCCAGTTACATACGTCTCGAACCCCCATGCCCCGATCAGATGGGTGAACGAATGGAACAACATGGATGGCAGCATTGAACGAGGCTATGCTGGCCCATCCTTTTTCTTCAAAAATGGCTTTGTTGTGGAGAATGTCACTCGCGCGGCCGAATACGCCCGTCTCTTAGCATCCATTCGCGTCAATGGTATCGTTATCAACAACGTTAATGCGAACGCCACCTTACTGAGTGCCCGTAACATTGAAGGACTCGGAAGGTTGGCCGATGCTATGAGACCTTATGGCGTCCAACTGGGAATCTCGCTCAACTTCGCTTCCCCCCAAACCTTCGGTGGTCTGAACACGTTCGATCCCCTCGACCCTTCTGTGGACGCCTGGTGGACCAACATTACCAATCAGATCTATAAGCGAGTTCCCGATATGGCTGGCTACTTGGTAAAGGCGAACAGCGAAGGTCAGCCAGGGCCGCTGACGTATAATCGAACTCTTGCGGATGGGGCGAACATGTTTGCGAGAGCCACGAAGCCACATGGAGGCGTAGTCATGTTCCGTGCTTTCGTTTACGACAATCACATTAATGAATCCAACTGGAAAAACGATCGCGCAAATGCGGCTGTTGAGTTCTTCAAAAATTTGGATGGGAGGTTTGATGACAACGTGGTGGTACAGATCAAATTTGGACCAATTGATTTCCAAGTGCGAGAACCTCCTTCCCCTCTCTTCTCAACCTTGCACAACACTAGTACTGCTATTGAGCTTCAGGTTACACCTGAATACCTTGGTCAAAATTGCCATTTAGTGTATCTTTCGCCTCAGTGGAAGGAGATCCTTGAGTTTGATTTACGCGCTGATGACAAGCCATCGAAAGTCAAAGACATCATTTCCGGGGAGCGATTCAAGCGACCTCTCGGCGGATCGGCGGGGGTTGTTAATGTTGGCACGAATGCGACTTGGCTAGGAAGCCACCTCGCAATGTCAGTAAGTGGCATTGGTGGGAACTTGTCTTAAAGCAGTACTGTGCTAATTCTTGTAGAACTTGTATTCTTACGGTAGGCTGGCCTGGGATCCGTCGCTGGAATCCGAGCAAATGCTTCAAGATTGGATACGTTTGACTTTCGGATTTGACCGCAAAGTTATCGATACGATCACCGAGATGTCCATGAAATCGAGGGCGGCCTATGAGAATTACAGTGGCAACCTTGGCATTCAAACCTTAACCGATATTCTTTACACCCATTTTGGGCCAAACCCAGCGTCTCAGGATGGTAATGGGTGGGGCCAGTGGACGCGTGCCGATGGATTCAGCATTGGCATGGACCGTACGGTCAAGAACGGAACTGGAAATGCAGGGCAATATCCACCTGCGGTTGCACGGGTGTTTGAAAACATTGAGACCACTCCCGACAATCTGTTACTCTGGTTCCACCACGTTAATTATACGCACCTGCTTAAGTCAGGCAAGACCGTCATCCAACATTTCTACGATGCCCACTACGAAGGTGCTGCTACTGCGCAAACATTCGTTCCGATGTGGGAATCTCTAAAAGGAAAGATCGATAACCAGCGGTACAGTGAAGTCCTCTTCCGACAGGTCTTTCAAGCTGGACATTCTATCGTTTGGAGAGATGCTATCAGCCGCTTCTACAATAATTTGTCAGGAATCCCGGATCAAGCAAAGCGTGTGAATAACTACCCTTATAGGGTCGAAGCCGAGAAGATGAAACTTGACGGTTACAAAACCTATGCAGTCAACCCGTTTCATACTGCATCAGGCTCTATGGCTATCGTTACTACGTCGAACAGTTCGGTTGGTACTGCTTCAGCTAACATTACGTATCCATCCGGAACGTATGATATCGCTGTGAACTACTACGATCTCATCGGCGGAAGATCAAAATATGATATTTCGATCAACAATCGCACCATCGGAACATGGACTGGGGATCTTGAGGACAAGCTCGGCCATGCACCTTCTATCTATTTGGATGGCCACTCTGCGACGAGAATTACGTTTAAGGGTGTCAAGGTTAACAAAGGTGATATGTTGAGGATCGTTGGGACGGCGAATGGAATAGAACCGGCGCCCATCGATTACGTGTCATTCCTACCCCCCGGGATAATAGACTGAGCGGTCTGTCCAAGTAAATTGCAACGTCATTGGCCTTTGTAAAAGTATCTTAAACGCCTTATGGCATCCACATACGTATTGTCCTTCTATATCCACGGTGTCCTGTGAGCACTGACTCTTATCCCACACTCTGGCCTTGTTTGCCATTCCCCTAGCCTCTGCAGGGCGCACCTACACATCAAGGCAACATCTTTATCACTCTCATCCCCTATGTTTAGCATAATCTCCCGTGTCTTTACTAACCCTTCGATACACACCACGGACTTCACGTTCGGGGCACATTCCTGTCTGGTATCCCGCCTGCCTTGCCAAGGCTCTCTCCTCCCACCCCTGCCGCACTTGTTTGAGCCATGCATAGAATCACCCTTCCCTATGTCGATTATATCACGCCATTTGCTGTGAATATCCACTTGCAACGCCATGGCTGTAGATTTGGGTCAGGTTTCCACGTGCGGGCTGAACGGTATCTCAGAGACCCGCGTTTTGCTTTTTGCGGCATCTCCACAACAACTTACCACGCGACAAGCACTTCCTTTTTTTCAGCGCTATCTTCAGCCACAGGGGTTTCCCGTCCTTCCAGAAGGCCCTCTTATGGCTCTTCTCCTCCACGGCCGATAATCGCGACTTCCCCATCCCCTGTCTCGCGACTAGCTTTTTCGTTCTGAATGGGATTGTGTGTGGATATTGAATACGATGCCCGACCACACAACCATTGCTGCTAGTAGCGCTGCGCTGAGCAACGCTATCGTCAAGGTATGCCCCCGCCAATACTTCCCCTCATCGAACATATTCTAACCTTAGTGTGTTGTGCAGGTCATCTTTGATGTTGGGAAGTTTGCGCGCCAAGCCCGAGATTCTCGTCATGATATGAATGCAATCAATGCCGAACTTCTGGCTATCAAAACGTTCCTTGAGATTATTCACGATGACTTTACCTCAAGGGGAGGAAGCCTTCTTTCTCTCCTCTTGGACCCAGTGTCTGGGATTCTGGATTGTTGCGGACATGTTATCGACGAAATACACATGACGATGATGAGGCTGTCAACAAGTCATGCTCCTGGAGGGGAATGGGATCCCGTCCAAGACGGTGATGTTTCGCATATTCAACAATCCTTAGATGTACTTAACTCTGCTCTCGATCTTAGCTTAGATCACATCTCATTGTTAGCGCCTCTCCGGTTTAGCGATTCACCGACTTACCATCATCTAGGTTTACAATGCCATTCCCTCCAGTCGATGCCTCTCCGGCCTCTCCGGGAAGTGCCAGTTCTAGACACGAACCAGAGAAGGTCCTAGTATTGTTGAAAAGAAACGACGCCGAGAGGAAACGCATCAAGCATAGAGCTAAAGACAAAGGCATGGTATTGGGCCAGTACTTGGATGAACTGAGAATTTGCGCAGAAGCAGTCTACGAAGAATTAATCTTCAGTGACGGGCGCCAAAGATCAGACTCACTCGACCCTAATGAAGCAATCGAGTTTCGCGATGCAAACCTCCCCCTTGCTCCCACTCCTTCAAGCGATCACAAGTCCGATGTGGGTGCCTGGCTTGAAGACCTCGCATCTCAAAGCACCCTCGACCCAGTAGAGCGCGCTGAGTCTATGGCAACATCTTTATCGCCTAAGCGGAATGAGCGCCATTCCGCCAAGAAAGGAATTACATTCTATGCTGAGAGCACGGTTTCGGGAAGTCATACTACAGTACATACCAAGCACTCTAAGAACCGCCTGAAGAACATTAAACCCCAGCCTATTGTTCAGTCCGCGAAAGTCATCACAGTTACCCGTCTCACTCCTTCGCCCAAACCTGAAACTGAAACGGATGCCGAGCAACCCATATTGGCACTCTCGAGGCAACACTTCAGCTCTGTGAAAATGAACAGGGCGAAAGCTCGACGGCAAAGACTCACGACAGACCAAAAAGTCGCCGTCGACTGGGATCTGCGCAATCTTAGCGTCGCTGTCTCGCCAGGGTATATCGAGCGAGTCCTAAGGGAGGGCGCTGATCCCAATCTGGACCATCCAGATTTTGGATCCTTGATCGTAAGAGCATCATACCAGATGTCTTCGGATGTCATCCGATTGCTAGTGGAGTACGGTGCAGACGTCGGGGGAAACAGTCTCTCGCCCTTCTCCTCTGCACTTCATGCAGCGGTTCTGGGGAAGAAGCTCGAGAACGTACAATGCCTCATTGAATTGGGAGCGAACATTGATGCGACGAACTCAGACGGTGAAACGGCTCTCCATTTTGCAGTGAAGAGTTCCGGTACATATCCAATTGCGAGATATCTTCTGGAGGCTGGGGCGGATGTGGATGTTGGAACGCCGTTAAATCTTGCGCTTGTTGAGAACGCGCTGGATTCTAGAGACCGAAACAGAATGGCGGAGCTACTTCATACACATGGTGTTGAGGGGGAGTTGAATACTATGTGTCGCTCGAGGAGAGGGAAGGGACTTTCGGTTCTGGGGCTGATATGATATATATACGGGCATTTTGCGACATACATGAATCGATTTCAGGTGGCATTTTGAGAAATCCGATCATATGAAACTTTCTATTGTGATGCTCTATTTGGTGCAACAAGACTCGACACGGACACGAAACCGAAGACAGGCACCCCCAATACCAACATCACCTGAACGATTATGAACTAGGTCATCTATCCGATACGATGTCGATCTTGGATCCTAGCCGTTTTATCTAGCGACGTCATTCACAATCAGCGTCAGAGGTTCATCACACTCGAACACCACCTTCTCAGACGATGCGTTCATACCATGACACCGGCAACCCTCAGACTCGAAACACCTGCTGGCAGAACCTATGGAAAATAATATTCTGTCTAAAGCTCTTTACAGCAATACCGTCGGATGGGAGAAATTGGACGAGTTAAGAATGTTGAAGGGATCTAGAACAGCAAAATGAGTGAAGTCCACGAAACACTTGGATGACAGGGTGTTAAGAGTAAATGTGCTGTTATAGTTTTCCCTCATTCTCTATTAAGATTTCGCATAGCGACCATCCAGAAAGCTGCCACAATAACAGTTGCCCCTATAGCGATTCCGAATAACAGGCTGAAAAGGATTTCTTTCCTATCGCTTGTATCTGAAATTCCCTCCGACAAGCATCAGCTACCGCCTACCTTTCTCCCCCTATATAATTACCCATCGCCAACCCGCCATGTCAATACCCGCTGGTACATGTACTTTGTCCCGCTCTAAATCGTGAAAGCGCCCAAATAATGCCTTTCGGCACAAACGGCGGGGACCAGAATATTCGGAGTGACCACTGTCGTGCGCGAAATGTCTCTATGCATTTTGTGGTGGCCAGCAATTATGATCTGGATCGTTTTCGTCTTCATCTGGTTCCACGACTACGCCTTCTACTGTCCCACCTTGTTGTTCAGCTTTGGCCGTAAAAGTAGATCGAGTCAGATACATAGCTCGACACTGTGTGCAGGCTAAATTGCCCACAAGATCGATCACAGACATGAGCGTATATTGCATGACCGCCAATCTAAAAGCTGTATATCCGAACCGATCGCCTTCGACGCCACACACCGCGGCAACTCCGAATACAACTTCTGCGATTCCGACCATGATTTGATGAAGCTACAATCTGACCATATGGATTTTTTTTTTCAGGATCCTGGATCGTCGTGAAAACCTAGCTGTTGATGGAAAAACGCCCGGCCTATAATCACCTGAAAGTGCGACTCGGCTTTGGATGATGGGGGGGGGGAATTTACTGAGAGGAATTAGCATCAGTCTCTTGTATCTCAGCTAACCGAAAAAGGAAGAATTATGCGCAATCTTCTACGCCTTGTAAATAGCCTCTGACTCAGAAGAAATAGAGCGACTTACACCTTGCTCAGCCGCCTGTGTGCGCACAGGCGGCCGTCCTTCAGTCAGGCCGGAGAGCTGTAGATGTGAGACGCTGAGAACTCCAAGCCATGAACGCCACCAAAAATCCCTGGCAGCCTCTTTAAAAAGAAAACAATGATAGTGGGATCCGACGGTTGGTTTCAACTGGAAGGAGTTCGATTGGTAAGTAGAGCCACGTTTCTCCTTCACGGTCTTGATTTGATAAAAAAAATTGATGAAATCCGCAGAAAAGTTAGCTCTCGTCTGCTATCGCATAAGAACGTGGCCCCGCGCCACTCCGCCACTACAACAAAAAGGTACGAATAATTAACCTTGAACTAACGGTTGATTCGCGTGAAGAATAGCATATATACCCTTCGCGCATAAGCGGTACTTGAAAGCTACCCTGGCAACTGCTAAGCTACCGCGCAGATCACACTACGGTCTTACATATAGCAGACCTTAGAAGCAACGGTAACGCTTTTGATCATGTCAGCAGGAATGGAACGATTGGCCCGTATTGGCTACACTTTCGTAAAGTCCTACATTTTAAGGTTGAATAAGTTGTGAAAGTAGGGGAATCAAGCACTGGTGTTATTTGTGGTGTTGAAGAAAGAGTAATGGCACTGCTTCACCACTGGCTACAGTTCTCTTGTTCACACATTTTAGCTAACTTGTAACATTATACACGGCATCTAGCCTCAGCATAGTAACCTCTTTGGAGTTCTGCATGCTAAATAGTGAAAGGCGCGGGATATACTGCACGCCTTAGTTCGGGCCTGCCAACAACTCACCCAATAAGTTATGGCATTCGATGGACAACAGGTGGTAAGACGCGACATAGGATATGTAATATCGTTAAGACTGCTAAAGTATTGGACTATCGTTGCCAGCCATTATAGGGTTCCTCGGGATGTAGGCAGTCGGCGGTGGGGTGGATCCTGTGTTGCAGGAACGCCCAGAGATGCATTGTTGCCCAGAAGGATAAATGGTCTCCGAGGGATGGAACGAGGACTGTGGATGCAATGGAGATGAGGCTGTCTCCGGAGCTGTTAATCGTCTGGAGAGGATATCAGTATGAGAGACTTCAGTCCTTCATAGCAGATTTTCTCGAATTCCACAATCTCCGCTGCTCTA